CGGTGAGCGTGCGAATTACTGTCAAACTTGGAAATCTAAGGATTTAAATTCGGAATTTGAATTTCGAATCGGAATAACAGTAAACGACAATGAGTTTCCCTATCGCTAGCCTCGCAATACCTCGCTGTTCGATAGCTTTCACGATACAGTACGTTTGGGATTCGAGACGAATGAGTCACATCGTAAAATCGGTTTCTCTACTTTATAGATAAGCAACCGGCTGCGCGAACCGATAGAGAAATATCGTAATTCCGTAACTTATTTGCATCGAAATCGGATAAGAAACTCGAACGTCGGCGTATTGCGTAATTCTCTACGAACCTTCGAATCGCGATTCTATTATTTCAATGCACATCAGTGGCGCCTTATTCAATAGGCAAATCAACGCACAGTTGATACTATTTTAATCGCAGACAACAATCGTATGAATGACACAATGTTTTCATAAATGTATTACAATATTTATGCCATACGTCGTTAATATACAAATGTGGAATGAATAAGATTGAATTCAACTTTGATGATTATTAGAGAAGACAGGAATTATTTATTTAATTTTTTTTATAATATATTAAATAAAAGACGTTTTCATACTTATGGTTTTGGCATGTAATCATAAAGTCTTAAAATGTATTTTATCATATGATTAATGTATTTTCCGTTTTAAGTTCGATTTCGTCCAAGAAACTCTCGTTTCATTGGTATTCTCCCCTCGTAATCGAGGAATGTGTCCGAACGACAAAATAATTGAAAATGATTATAGTTTCCCGATAACCGACAGCGTGGATCGAACTAACGATTCCGGGAATCGCGAGAAACTTTCTAATCTGCGTGAACTGAAAATATAAAATTCTGCACGACCAGTTCTTCCTCGAACGGGAAGATTGACGTTCTTGAAGATAAACGGTCCGATTCGTCGGACACGTTGGATTAACGGCTCCTCGGCGATCGTTGAACGGATCGTGGCAGCGTAGAGAGGGGTCAGGCATTTTTTTTTTTTCGTTTCACGGAGGCAAAGAATGCGACGTGCCACGCGTCTGAGAAACTATAACGTCAGTGAAATGGTTCTGTGAATCGAATACCATCCGTAACATAGTGCATAAACGGGACTATGTGTCCGGCAGATTAAAACGTCCAGTTGTACTCTCGTGTCAAACTTGTCAAAATTAAATTTTCGTTACGGATTTATTTGCAATTTCCATAAAGTGTATCGATATTCTGATCATCGATAGACTGTAAAGTATCGCGACATATTCGAAATTCTCGAGATTCGATTCGATCATTCTAGTCTCGTGTCGAACATCGAGATTTCGATACCTCGGGCACTCATGTATGGATGACAGGACTTTTCACTAAGTAAAATTAATTCTCAAGTTGGAATGTTAATGGAAATAAATTTGAATAAGATTCATGAGCTGGTATAAGTGCCGAAACAAATATCAAGTCGTGTCTATTATTGTTTAAAATCAAAGTTTCGGTCAATGGTAATGTAAATGGATCAATCACTCTCGGGGTGGTCAACTAATATACTGTTTAGCTCTGTACGCGATCCGCGTGTGGCGCACGATGCACGGAGACTGGCGGTATACTCGCATAAACGAGGACCGCGCAAGACAAGCGTGTCGGAAAGTACCTATCGTGCACATAGGCATTATATTATGTACATACTCCGCTATCCGCGCGCCTAGCTGGCGCCCGACGCATACTTTATCGTCTTTCTAAACTCGGTATCGTGCGAACGGCAAAATTTAAATATTTATTATTTCGCAAGCGCACCGTCTTTGACCGGAATTCGTGGCACGGCGGCCGTGTCCCGGACGATCCTGTGGGACTCGTGTCCCAGGTGGCGCCAGCCGCGGATGTAAATCTATCGATCGATTGTGAATCATTCGGACACTGAGGGCCGACGATCGTAAGCGAACGCTGCGCTCTCCCCGCGGACGATTTTATCGTTTCTACGAGGTCGTCTCGTAACCGACTCAATTTCTGTCGCGACTTCCTCGATTTCTCCCCTCGTTCGCGTCGCTTCTCCTGCTTTTCGGGCAAATAAGACGACCACGGTTTGTATCGTCCAAAGCTCGCCAGGGACAGCGTTTCTCAACCTTTTTTCGACTCGTGGCCCACTTCTGAGTTTCATTGTATCTCTGCCTAATCACCTTCTCGACTTCCAACCCTCGTAGTTGCTGTTACTTGGGAAAAATGACAGTATTAACGCGTTGTACACCGGTACGGTATAATTTTCTTGCTAGTGTACGTATATATGTTTTTAATTTGTCGACAAAGTTGGATCAATTTTAATCCATATTCCATATCTGTCGGATCCTATCAATTGAGATCTCGACATGTTGGCGCCCAAGATAATAATAGAATACGACGGTATACATATATCCCTTTCCCTGATGATTTCGAATTTGTTACAGAAAATCGCGTAATACGGTTACGATTCTTGTTACGATATCGTTGCAAGTTCTTGACCACGTTATCTTTATCACAGTAACATAAGTTTGCTCAATTTGATAACTATTTTTCGAACACGTGGTGCCAGGGTTGAATCTGTCATTAATGGATCTGTTTATTACATTGCTCGTGTCGTAATAATGTTTGAAATCAAACAATGTTTGCTCATTCTTGTACGTATCCATAAATACTTGTCTAATCTGTTTGGAAATATTTGATGATCCACTCGTAAGGTTTTGCAGTTCCATTTACATTTTAATTCAAGCCTTCTCCCCCACCAAATGCTGTGCATCTCACTAGGATGCCATATGGCTCCCGTTGAGAATCACTGCAGCAGGGGATTCTACAGCTGCCCCATGAGAGATTTCGATCACTTTTACAACGATGAATCTACGAGTCGAACGATGATACTCTCTACAATACTGCAATACGCATTGTTTTATCAAAATACTTTCAAATAACGTAGAAAATTTAATTATTGAAAACAAATTCTCCGCATATTATAACCTGCACGACTATTCTAGCAGAGAAAAATAATACATTCAATTTTTTTTTATACGACAGATACACGTTGCAGAGAATATTGTGCAATACATATTGCTTATGGCGTCATGGATAATTTGTTTCATAGTTTTCAAAATCCGAGTTAAAAATAAAAAATACAAAGAATCATCCAGATTCGCCATATGGTTCTTTTTTAATGTCGCCATCTTCGATTAGACAGTTACAGGAGCGCCACAGTCAGAGAAAGCTCAAAGCTTTTCGTTCTTGTGTCTTTCCATTTTCGACGAATACACGGGGCACGCCGATAAAACGTTTAAATTGCACGCGTTCTTAATTGCACCGCGCTGACGGAGGCAAAAAGACGGCAGACAAGTTTAAACACGTCGATGGAACCTCTTTTTTCCCCTTCCTTTCGTTCCAGAGAACGTACAATTTTGCAATTACCGTGGCCGCGGCGTGTGACGTAGCGGCGTGTCTGCATCTGCTTCGTCTCTTATCTCGAATTTTTTTTTTGTTCGTCGCGCGGGACACTCGCAACGTTCCAACGATCCTGAACTTTTATCGTTTCTGTTGTTGTCTTCGTCGACCGTGTTGCCCGGCGAAAAGCGATAAGCTTGGAAGCCAGTCGTGCGTCTCTTATTAATCCGAAGATCGGTTTGTGTACATCTGTGCCGCGAGATCTACCGTTCGCGCGCGTTCAAGTTTGTTCGAGGTCGTTTCTGTGACTCTCTGCACGTTTTCTTCTGTGATCGAACACGTGGAAAACGCGGAGAGAATTAATTCAGTGTTAATTAACTGCGGTGAAATTTAGGCGAAGTCGAAAAACTTACGGGACTCACCATTGGAAAAGCCAACCCAAACCTAACCAAGAAATGGACGAAATTATTCAAACGGACAACGAATACAGCTTTCGGTCGTTCTACGTGAGTCATTACTATAATTCCAATTTTAATGTTCACACCACCGGTAACAAATAAGAAGTGGTTTATTTTTTTGTTGTTTTTTGCCATTTTTATCTAGTAATGAATTTTGGCTGTCCTTGTTAGTTGCGAATATTCATTCTTTTCGTGAAATAAATATTTACAATACAATTCGTGTTTCTAGCCATTGTAGATTCTCTTTTTATTCGATAAGCTTAATCGAAAGAATCGAAACAGAGAAAAGACTTCTGTAAAATTATAGGAATAATAACTGACGACTCGATGAACGTTTGGTTAACCTCAGAATCAACATTAACTATTCAGATTAAAGAAGACGTAAATAGTATTAATTTAATTCTGAATCCAAATTAACGAACGTCGACTATACCATTGAGGTTAACCACAAGTTTATCGAGTCGTCGATTACTAACGTTCGAATTCTTTACATGCACGATTTATTTTGTAAGTTTACCAATGCTTCTCTTAAAAGAACTCCTTTAAATTGATTGTTATTATAGCTCCTACGTATTACCTTTAAATCGAATGCTTATTAAATTAATACATCGAAATCAAGCGCGTTGTAAGTAGCAATAAATGCCCGAATAGCTGGAAACACGAGTCGTTTTCGTTTCGTAAAAGTTGGACTCCACTACATTCCCGTTTTAATTAATTCGCAACGATTGGAAGTAAGCCTGCGATGCTGTAAAGGTTGCGTGTGCTATGTAAGTTTAATTACTGTGCCAGTAGCGATAGTACTAACTCGCATTAATTACCGATAAAGTATGCAACGCTCGAAGGAAGAAAGCACACCATAAGAAACGATTTTCCACGCAGAAACGCTTCCAAGCAACGAAGGCCACGTACAACAGTAAATCCCGGCTCCGGAACAACGTGGCATGCAGAAACGCGACCGCGATACGCGCATAAAGAATACGAGACCATCTACGAACCGATGTTCAACGACAGAAACGCAAATATCGATTCTCTCCTTGTTTTCGTCCGGCTACCCCCCGCCACCCACGTGGACTCGTTCACGCGCTGGTCTAGTCTAACCTCGTCGGATACTACGTTCCCGACTTTCCCATGAAATCATGCGCTCAAAATGAAACGTTTACTTGCCATTGTCATTGGATTTCCCTTCGTTATCGGCCAGCACCTCGTAGTCACCGGAGTCGAGATCCACGGAAGCACCAACGACCACAGACAGGCTGGACACCATCGTCGCGAAAGTCAACAAATCCCGTGACAGCATTTTAATAACGAAACGAAGTAAAAATGTTCACGCACTGTCACGACGTCGGCGCGGTTCGCGTTAAGATCGACGGCAGCGATTGTCGATCGCGTTCAGTGTGATCAACGGGTGCCACGATTGAACTCCATCGATCGGTCGTCGATTGGAACTGGCTGCTGGTCACGATGTGTGTGTCCTTGTGAACGTTGAAAAATTCATAACGAATCGCACGGGAACGTCGCGGAGACGGAAAGATCGACGGACTCGAGTCGCGAGGGAACGAACGGCACAACCGATCCCGACGATGGTCGACGCTTGACTGACTGACTCACTTCGGTCTCGAAAAGCAAACGCCAGCCGTGCAGCCGGACGACTCCGCCGCGGCTGGCGCGCACCAGGGGCACCCGCCGAAGAACACTCGCCAGATAGTTTTTAAACGAGTCCCGCCTCCGGCCGCGATAGTGTGTGCCCCTTGTCGGTGAACCACGCACCGTGAACGCGTACAATACGCACGTTCAACGACTGCCGTTAATCTGCCATCTAGCCTGCGCCGGTTGCGTGTGAAGCTAGGACTTCTTGTCGATATATCTACTTCGATCTATCGAATATTCGGCGAAATACTTTACTGTCCGATTACTAGTGGAATACTTAATTATTCGAATATAATTCGGGTACTTAATTGTTTCGAATATTACCAGAGAATACTTCATTATTTGAATCAACTGCTTCAATACGTTAACTTCTCACGCTGGGGTGGGTACACTCGAAAGATTATTTTGATACAAAGTTACCATTTTGTTGGCAGCCAATAAGTCTTTTCAAATCTTATTAGCGGCTAAATTACTTATTTTATCAACGTCGTTTCATATAATTTTATTTTTATTGGGGAAACTAATGAATTTATTGTATATGTTTATATACGTGCAAATTATCGATCACCTATAAATCATCGATTACATTCGCTACAAGTCCTCGTCTGTAGAAGTGATCGTATTTGGATAATGATATTCGAACAATTTATTGAAATACAGAACTATTTAAAGTTTATTCATACTGTCCAAATGTCTACGAAATAGTGGAGTAATAAATAATTAATCGCGGTCACTATTTCGATCCCTACGCTAAGAATAGTTCGATGAATCGCCGATGGATCGGTGGAACTCTAGTCGAATCGCGGATTTCCCTCGCTACGTTAAGATTTGCAAGAAAATTCGGAGCATGCTCCGCGAAGAAAAATCTAAGCCATCAAATATGTAAGCTTGCTTCCAATTTTCTTCTGAACTTACAGTCTGTCTAGTTCTTACGCTACTATTTTATTTCCTTTCTGAAGATGTACCAAAACCCAAGAATCAAAACGTTATAATAAAAGAAGATCAAGATTGACAAAACAGTCATCCCCTAGTTCAAGGGGGTGTCTAGGTATTTTGGCGCCTGGGGCAACAATGACACACGGCACCCTTGGCCCATTGTCTTTACGATCGATATATGTACACACGCTGTAGCGTACACAGGCGTCTTGTATTTTTCTCGCGTGAAAAATTTCGATTTCGCATTTTTAGAGAAAAATCAAATAAAATCATTTTTGCAAAACTATGCGTACGATAAAGCGTTAAAGTATATTATTTAATTGTTTGCTGATTTTAAAGGCGTCCGTCGACGTGGCGCCTATGCACACGTGCCCCTTCTGCCCCCTGGCGTATCACGGTCCTGCCCTAGTTCGCCGGTTAAATCCAAACAGAACCGTACTTGGAATTTAAATCCTCGCGATCTACGTGGTCGACAGACGATTCTACGTGTCGTCGATCAGCGCATCATCGATCTTCATAGATCCTCATCGAAGCAATTCGATCGGTTAGGTGGCTGAAGAGCGCACATGGCCTGTGCCACTTACGTTAATGTCAGCCACTGTACCAGAACGTACAGTATGCGGGCAGGCCGGTGGGACTTGTGTGTTGGTAAAAGGTTGAGTGGTGCGGATCGACGCCGGGAAATGGGCGGTCGGTGAGGGAAACGCGGGACAGGGAGAAGGGAGACAGTGGCGCCTGAGCCCCGAGGCAGAGACGCCACGTTCTTCTTTGTGTGGGTGAGTGTCTGTGCGACGCACGATGCGCGACCCACACATGCTGCGCGCGCTTGGACGGAGCAAGAGGGACGATGCAAAGAGCGGCAGCTTGCTTCTGCCGTGGATCGTCGGCCCTCCTTCTGTCGGCCGCCTTTTTAGCTTTGTCGTGCGCTATGTCGCCCCGAGCTACTTCTTTTCCCTTCATGCGAACGAAAGTACTCGCGGGCCGCGGTTACACAAGGGCTTTTAAATGCGCCGATGGCGAACCCGTTGTCATTACCACTTTATCGTCGGCCGTTTCGCTCACGCATCCATCGCGGACTGCGGTTAACTTTTACCAACGACGCGACGCAACCAAACTATACCTATCTAAAATTAACAGTCCATCGCGGCATCAGAATTTTATGCGTAACACTTTTTCCCTCGCGATACAGAGGGCGTATCAAACTCATTTTTGACGACATAGAAAATATGCAAATAAATATTATTTCATTTTTTCAAAATGCTTTTCACAATTTTTGAAATCTTCGAAACGTCATAGTCTCGTTCGTAAATTCGAACAAACTAGTTTACGAACCTGACATTTTTATTTAGTTCGTGAGTATAATTCGCCTAACGCCGCGCGAGCGCGCGAAGAGAGAGGACGAACGCCATAAATCGTCACTATTTGTTCCGATAATCGGCCTCCCTTTCGACGCCGGACGTGCATTATGCATACACGCGTCCCTCAATGGCCCTTTTCGCTCCGGGCGAGATCTCTTACTTTCGTTCCACGCAGGATCGATGGCCGTCGGTATAAATACGGCGCGAACTACGATTCGAAAAAACTTAGTTAATTCCTTTATATTCGAGGCTGATGAAAAATTCAGTGGATATAAAAGAATCCATTTCACGGGGAAATACCACTAAACTCTTCGGTCGGGATCGCCGCTGACAACAAATGCGAGTCGTCGCGCGAGCTATCGCCAAGACGTGGTTCCGCTCGTCTACGACTTTCCTTTCGTGGAACTAAACGCGAACGACCCGGCTCGATACTTTGAATACAAGCGTTTCAAAGTCGCCGTTTACCCCGTTTATTTTTAGCCGGGCATTAGCCAATTAGCTATTAACTCCTTGGCGCCACGACGGTGATCCTATTTTTGCTTATTTCTTACTCGAGATAATGCATCGTTGCCCCCTTCCGTGTCTTCGGTATTTTGTCGCGGATAATCCGATCCGGTGTGACGCGCGCGACGTTAAGTGCTGTTCGCAAACACTTTGCCAAATGAAATATGCTTCTGGCACGATCGCGTTGCCGATACCGTTCTCAGGCTCGACGGCTTCAAACCTCAGTCTTACGAGTCGATGTGATAAAATTTTACGACAACCGGGGGGAGAATTTCAGTTCCGTCGCGCGTACGCGTCGTTCACACGAGTTCGATGCGTTTCGTCCATTAAGCGGGAGATAACAGCGAATATAAAGGCATATCTAACGAGAAAACCGCCGCGGTTCGTTGACACTCGTCGCGATGCAAACGTCATCCGTTGATTCCGAATCGGTGAACAAGAAACATCGCTTACGGAATCAAAATACGTCTCTGCGAGATTCTTCGACGCTTCGAAGGGTTACAACCACGTTGAACGTTTCAAAATATCAGTGAAAGACGAAATAATTTCCATAAATCGGTAGATAGAAGTCTCCTTGTCAGCTCGTTTTTTTTTTAAATTACTTACGTGTAACAAAAATGGAAATAATTTGCAAAGGAATCTTTTGGAAAATCATTCGAGACACGTTTGACTATCGCTAAGCGTTACGCTAGAAAGTATCTTGGAGCTAGTTTCTGAGCTAGACTCTAAATAAAATAACGTTCAAATTAATGGAAGACTAGTACAGGTATTAGTAAATAAATATACTATTATGAATAATAAACATGTCGGTTACGAGTCGAATATGTTCATAGTATCCTAATGTTCGATGCAATTTACTGTATCGTTCGGAACGTGATCCTCTAATTATATCTAGATTCGATGAGCACAAAATGTTAGTTTTCTCTATCGAGGGATCAGAAAAAGGACATTCCGTGTGCACCGGTCGCATAATTACTCCCTTAATACGTTGTAACGCACGGAAGTCGAACGTAAATCGTTTCACGGTTCGTAGAGGATCGAACTTGTTTAACAGTACAACCGTGGACACACACGGAAAAAAGGAGCACGAACGAAAGAGAGAAACGTCTTGTTAGTGGCTCGTGGATGAACCAGTTAGACAAGCTGAAGATATTTATCTGAGATATTTGATCGTTCGACGATCGTTCCGAGGATGGGTTATCTACCTTCGAATCGGGCCCGTGTGTTTGGGGGAGTGATTGATTCTCGTCGGGCGCGACGAATGCGGTGGTCAAGCGGTCGAGTCGGATCCAAAGTTGTTCCCGACGAGCACCTGGTTAGAACCGACTGCTTAGTTCTCAGGCTAGACTTAATGGAATACGTTATTGTTTGTCATGGTTCCAGCCGGCATGACTAAGGTCGATCAACGTCGTTCGTCGTATGATCGAAGACGTCCAAGAAAAGAAAACAGTTCCCTCCGGCGATACGTTATCGATTGGAAAACAATTCAAACTCCTCGGGTAACGAATTATTTTATTTGAAAGGCGTCTATCAATCTTGCAACGCTACGTCATCGAGTATTTACTACCGTTCTAGATTAGAAGATAATCCGAATGACGCAAATCCATCCCACAGTTTCTTCGTACGTTTGTATTTCATTTTTATATACACGTCGTTGAATTCGTGAAATAAAATTTACATCCTTCGTGTGCCCTGTTTCTTACACCGTTCGTACATATTATTATGTATACAATGGTAAATAAAACGTCTAGACGGGAATGCAGTTTGCCGTAGACACAATTATTTTCGTCGCGTTCGATGCACACACCTACGGCTTCGATGGGCTCTTGGCCACCGTTGTATTTACTTTTCGTCCGTCACGAGTGCACTTACGTTAGGAACGAGGCGTCCTGCTCGCCCAAAAGCGTTCGACTCTTCGATTCTGTCTCTGTTTCGCGTCCCAGGGATGACTAATTACGTGGAAACACCGTAGCACCTGGTTCCAGTCCCCCGTGCAAACGGGCGGACGAGATTCGAACAGCGGACGCGACCCACGTGTTAGTCATGCCGTTCGAAACAAAAGATCTCGACGACTTGTTTGCTCGAAACTGTCCCTCGTCGAGCTTCATCATCCAGTCGATGACTCTTGAAACCACTGGGTGTATCCCACGTTTCCTGGGATCCATTCCCGACCGCGCATCCATCATCCTGAATAAACATAAGAATGCTCGATTAAAGTCGAGACAACTGGTTGAAACAATCCGCGGGACGCGAGTCAGAGAAACAAGAGTTCGGAGAAGAGACGGTATATAATCGTACCAGTAGTGAACAGTTCTTAGAAAAAAATCATAAGAATTAAAGGAAAGCATACTTGAAATACACTTGGTAAATTGGGATATCGAATTATAGCGCTGAACAAAAGTATTGGCGAAGGTTGTGTTTTATAATTCAATTATATATGCGCAGACGCTTCCCTCGCTCGCCAGTAGAGGGCTACGTTATCTCACAAGTACTCGATCGACATGAATATCTCTATTATAGATTAAAACTTATGTTCACCGAGATTCTAGCAGACTCTGAAACGATAGAAGTTTCAAATTATTAATAGAATAGAAATTTAAGATTCTTTGGAACTTAAGGATGAATAGGACAAATAAAGAGGTCCTGGGCGTAGATTCGCCCTCGATAGTAGTTATTCTTGGGAAAAAATTGCCCCCTAGTGGTGCTGGTTTCCTAGCTTAACGAAGAAGATTATTCTCTCAGAAAAGAAAGATGATTAATGTTGTTTTGATATTATTAAATTAATGGCGATGGATAATATTATTGGCATCTGCTGTTGCAAATAATCCCGTGGCACTACTGGTTGCCAGGACTTGAAAGCTGTCCGGCATTATCTTTAACAAAAATCTCTTCAATACGGACTCGTTTGGCCTGTCGACGGCAGTTATCTCCTGCACGGTCGGCTTCTATTTATATTTTACGTTCGTTAGTCGATCAGGGGCATACGATTAAGGCGGAAAGTATCCGTGTGCGCGTACGAACGAGCGCTCGAGCCGATTTAGATTCCGCTTTGAATCGTTCAGTCTGTCGCGCGTGCACGCTGCGATTTCTCTCTACGCATCGAGTCAACAGTGCACGACCGATAAGACTTTTTGGCTTTAACCGGCACTTTTCGATAAAACGTATCAGCCGAATGCGTTATGAATGGGCAATATCTAGGGGATTATCAAGCTTGAACGTCACTGTACGACACGTTACTCCGTAAATCATGAATCGTGGTTCTTTTGGTGCCCGTTAATTTCCAAATGGCTTCCTAGTTGCTTGGAATCAGAGTCGGACAACATTTTGTTATCGAAATAGATACTATTCATTTAGATCTGGATAGACTTCATCCAGACTTTTGCAATTCACTGCTTCGAATCGACGAGGTTATTTTCAAAATTATCTACAATTACTACAGTATTTTTGAAACCTGTATACAAAATTGAAAAAAGATACTTACCTGACTCGTTCGTCCCGACAGTGGGAGGTGACAAGATACTCAATGAACATCGATTTAGACGAACCACGAACAATATTCGCATTACTCTACACTTCCAGCAGTGTACGGATTCGTCTTCAAGAACCTGAAAGATCAACGAAATGTTGTAATATAGCCGTTCTACAGGCGAAACTTCAAACGTTAATTATGTACTTGCTAACGAAGCCTCAATCAACAAATTGAAAAGTTTCAAATCGTTCTGGAAAAATTATTTTCGGACGCGGGGATCAATTAAAATCACTTTTGGTGAATAGACATACCCCCGAAATCCTACGCAGTTTCGAGAAAAAAATTCGAGTAGGTGGACCAATTTTTCGACAAAATTAAAAAATTTCAAATCGTTCTGGAAAAATTATATTCGGTTGCAGGGGTCAATTACAATCACTTTTCGTGAATAGACATGCCCTCGAAATCTTAACCATTTTCGAGAAAAAAATTCGAGTAGGTGGACCAATTTTTCGACAAAATTAAAAAATTTCAAATCGTTCCGAAAAAATTATTTTCGGTTGCGGGGTTAAAATACAATCATTTTTGGTGAATAGACGTACCCCCGAAATCCTACGCAGTTTCGAGAAAAAAATTCATTATCGCCCTCGTTGAGGATCACTGATCCAACTTGATATCGCCTAAAAAATATACAATTACGGGCAATGTTACGATTTTATTTTAACGGATAAATAAATAATGGTCCCCGGTCCGTCAGCGATTGCCCTTGCATCGGGCTTTTTCTTATCCGGTTCGGTCTCGTTGTTCGTTTTCCGCTCTGTGGCCGATTTCACCGGTTCCGTCGTCTGGCCGGTTTGTCGCGGCGCGCTAAAAGCCGCACACAACTGGCCCCTTATCAGGCCTGCTCTTTCAGGGAATCCGTTGGAGCAGATAGCGGGGTCCCGATGGCCCACCATGGGTCTACCCTCTAATCTTCGGCCCCCGGAACGGTTAAGTGGGTTTTCGAGTTCGGGAATGTCCCGGTCACCAGTCAGCCACTCGCGCACACCTTTTCGTGGTCCGTGTCGCTTCCCTCCCTTCTTCTTTATCTCGCCTTCGAGCGTGTATTTTGAGTGTCACGTCCAGGCGGGAGGGGAGACGCGTTCCTTTCCTGATTTCTTCGTGTTTCACACGGTCTCCGGGGCCTTAATGTGGGCGCGTTTCTATCTGTCGCGTGTAATGACGTTGCCTTGTCACAAGGATAACGCCAGCCGTGGGGCGAATCGCTGGTGTACCTCTCCTTTATCGTCGTCGTACGGTCGCTCGGAGCGCAAGTAAAATGGAGGTGAATTAGGATAAGGGACAATCGTGATAAGCGGCGGCGTACGGTTTCAGTAAACGCATTCCCTCTTACACTCGCTGTTTATCGCGAGATATTTTTGGACCCCGTCGAGCGCATCGGAAACATTATAGATTCCTGAATTTTCAGCTCTTCGACGCTAGGAGACGTCGCGAAGATAGCCGTCGGGGTTCTCGGTGAATAAAACTCGATTTACGAACGTGTCTGCTGCAACGAACGTCACGATGCATTGCATAGGTGTTTCTTCAGGTCGTCAATAATTGCATTAAGGACACTGAGACATCTGTTCTTAAGTGGACTCTCGATATCAACTGAATTATTTTACTTAACGTTGATTTTTACCAAATTGGTAAATGGAAATCAACATTCCTTGAAAACATTTAAATAATTATGAACTAATGGAGAATTATACAAATTTTCACTGCGTACGCGTGCAACTGTTCTACAGGCGGAATTTTAAAGGTTAATAACTTTTCAACGAAGCATCGATCAACAAATTGGTATTCTTGATTTTCGTCTTATTTCGGCCTCAAGAACCTTCCATTAAATTTTTTTTTAAGAAAAATGCACTTTTACACAAATAGTCCCAACTCGCATCGCTTTTTTAAATGTTCAATTTGCGATCATTTAAAGAACCCATTAATATAATTCCGGTCGTCGATGACTCGATCGACTATCGACGACCACCAAGAGACAATCGCGATTTGTAACCTTGCGAACGTTGTTGATTGTTCACGGGTCGTCGAGTTAATATTAGCTCAAGGTTTTTCTCATTGCCTAAAGGACATCGTGGCGAAAACACGTCGTCTGATAAGGGTATTGCGCGACGGAACGTTCTGGCACGCGCGTCCCTCTATTTCACCATAGGAACGAATCGGAACTTTTGCTTCGATCGTGAATTTAAAACGCCGTGTCGCGCGAATCGATTCACCGAACCTCCCCAGGGCGTACCATGCCAGCGAGCAATGCCAAACAATTACAATTACGAACTTACGTATCAGTGTCGCTTTCTTAGCAAAGAGTCACAACAAAAAGGGAGATACATTCTTGGCAGCGCGTCAAGTGAAACGCGGTGAAAAATCTAAGAACGTTTCGTCGATCGAGGGTACGGGCGGAACGTTGACGCGCGACAAGGAGGAGGATAAACAAACAAAACGAACGATTAAAAATTGGTTGTTTATAAACGCTCGGAAACCCACGGCGGGAAAAACATTTCTGGCAGTACGTCAAAAAACACGCGTTCGGAACCTTCTTGGGCGCGGACGCGTTGTCGTCGTAAAACGGACGTTTTATCGTAGCATCTTGCCAGGGTTGTTTTTTTCACGACGCGGCGCGCAAAAGCGAAACGGCAAGAAGTCGTTACACGGGATCCCGACACCTTTCTTGCGAGAGGCGGACGCACGATCATCGCCAATGAGGAAACTTTACGGTAGACGTGATAATAAAAATTTTCGCAGACCTTGTAATAACGTAGCAGGCTGCTAGGACCGATATCAGGGCAGCGATCGCCAAGACCAGAGCGGCGACGTGGAGCGGCTTAACGCGATTCTGAAGAAGCTGATCGGATGATTCCCGACCTCCGGCGATCGCCCCTGGATCGGGCCGGATCGATCCCATTACGTCTCGATGCGATGATATCCCATTAAACGTGCCTTCGTACATAACAGAAATTTTTACATAAAATCCATCCTTCCAACAGTTTTCTGCCGGTCGATTCCAGTTTCTCTTAAACCGCCGGACAGTTATTGCTTGCGAATATATTTCCAATTAACCTCGGCGAATAATTTCAACATTAAAACGCTCGCTATCGCCGTCCGGTTGCGAAACCGGCCGTCACCGGCCGCCTCGTGTTCGCGGCAATTTTATTTCACGCGGGAATAATAACGTGTTTTTATTCACCGCGGAATTTTATGCAAAATGTAACGAGGTGCTGATTTAAAAAAAGAAATACATTTGATCGAAAGCGTTGACTCGACCTTGGAACAAAATGACGTAAAGGCCACCTAAATATCTCTTCCAGACCGCGACCAAACGAGAAATATTTGATATGTAATTTGAATGTTATCGAAACATCGATGCGTTGCAAAAAATATTTTCCCCCCGGAGTTTTCAAGATCGTTCGTTTTCTGAACTCTGACTCTAAAAATTAAAATCAAACGTACGATTGCTGTCTCTCGAGATTAGAAGAATGCGGTATCAGCGCGATGGTTGCTCGACCCGTACCGCGCGTCTCGTAAAACAAATTTTAAATACAAAATTTTTCGATCGCCGTGACTATCGCGTTCACCGAACCTCGCGCTAATGGACTTTTTTTTTATGGGATCACTTACAACAAGTCAACCGACAACGCTAGATTACATGAAAAACAACAATTACAGTTTGTACTGCTATTAATTCTTATCTTATCGTTCGTTTCGGACAATGGTATCAGCGTGGATGAGCACCATTTCGAACGTCTATTACAACTTTCCCCTAACGTTTCTTCGTATCGTTGAAAGCAACGAAGGTATCGAAGGTGGAATTTGAAGATTATTTGAAGGGGAAACCACTGTGACAGATTGAAAAAATCGAAATTTTCTTTCTCATCTCTTTTCAATCCTTGAAATTAAAAATTTTCAGAACTTGCAGTGAAAAATTACACGTCCGTCCTTTTCTAACAAATTTTTGGAGGCCTCTCACGCTGATTCCTATTATGGCTGTAATAATTAATATTTTTATACGAAATTTTTACAAGAAGTAGTTCAAGAAATGTACTTTCGAAAACATTAAACATTTATCAGAAAAAGTTTCATAGTTATGGGCAAAAAATTCTTGAATATTGGCTTTATTTTCAACCATCGCAGTGGTTCCCATCCTTAAATGAATTTGAACCGGTAAAATAGGTTCTGAAGGGCTGTTTACCATCATAGTCGACGGTAGGTTCCTCTAGATCGGTCCTGTCCTCGTCGTGGATCCACGTGGAGACATTCACGCGGTGATTGGCGTTACAGTAGTCGTGGCTGTCGCAACACTTCAATCTGGGCCAAGTCATATGGTTCCAGGGAGCTGACGATCGGTCCACGTTGTCGGTCGACTTCGACCTCGTGACCCAGGACTTTGTCTCGCACAACAATGGTGTGGCACCCCTGGACAACGGCAGCGCGCAACACGCCGATAAAATGTGCCCCGATAAATGCGTCGCTCGATAAAGTTCCGTGACCCCGGCGATAGCCGGGATTTAAATAACCGTTTCGCGCGATTTATGGCCGCGGGAGATTTCAATATTTCTCGCGCGTATCGAGCCACGCTGCGCCACGAAGCGATTGTTTCGCCGTCGATACAATAATATCGAAAGGGATCGGACCGAAACGGGGTCGATTCGATTTGTTTTCGCGACCGTCGTCGGTCTCTATCTCAAACGCGGAGTGTTTTCCTCTTTTCTTTTGCTTTTTTTTGAATTGATATTACGTTATCGCGCGACGATGTTCGAGGTATTTAAACGATCGTTTCGACACGGCTGGATGGAATTCGTGAAAACCGATTTCGGTGACGATTATCTCGTCAAGGTTGTCCGCTTGGCGTAGAGTGTTTGTGACTTTATAGACGGGACGTCAATCGTCGGATCCGGCAAATTAAATCGTTTTCGAGGCGCGGCAGCTCGTACCGTCGGAATTTATTGTCCGACAACGGGGGAAGGTTAAAGGTCGGAGACTTACTTTTCGCGGAGACAGTGTTTACCAGCGTCCCGTTCGTTTTGTTTCGCTCTGACTTCGTTCTTGCGGACGGAAGCAAACACGATTAGACACTGATTTTATTTTTCATAATCAATTTAAGAAACGATTCTTATTCGATAATACGGACCGCATTTACTCGAAACGTGTTCCTTTCATTGTTTCATACATTCATAACTTTAACTTTATATATATATTTATTAACAGAGTTTAACGACTGTAGGCGTATTAAACTACACTTGAAATGAGAATCTCTAGTAGAAAGGGTTCACAAGGATAAGAAACGCTATGCTAAATTATTAGAAGCTTAGATTATCATTGTTTTGAGTAAATAGTGCTTGTAACAAGCGGGTCATATGTTTGACATACCTGTTATAAAAGGTCAGAGAGGTAATTTATTACGAAGTGGATATTGTTATAATACGAACTCTGTACATCCTCTCGTAGTGGCGTTCTCCCCTAATTTCTGACCGCCAGTCAGAATCAGCTCCGTGTAACAGGAAAATTTCGTTTTGCACGTGTCCACCCCGGCTTTCTTGCAGGCCTTGCTGGTGCACACGCATCTCCTTCCTGCGAATATCAATGAATTTTCCTGGCATTTAGCGCGTACAGATTCGCGTGACACGCGCGCGATCATAATCCACTGGTTCTCAATACGTCGATCGCCACGACAGAACTTTTCACTGAGAAACATGGTAATTCCCAAGATGAAACGTTAAACATAAATTGGGTAATTATTCCAGCAATTGTAGAAGCAAGAGGCGTATTCAGTATGGCAACGTCGATGTTAAGCAATTTTCAAAACAAAGAATTATTTGATTGTTAAATCATTCTCTCGCGTTTAATTATTTTTCCAGGCAACACAGTACAATTTTTATTATTACTCAAAGTGCATATATCCCGCAGTCTATTGTTTTTCATTTTAACGCAGTTTCAACGTCCAATGGAGTTTACTTTGCAGTCTATTGTTTTGAATGAATAGTTTGATACCTTCTTCTTCAGTAATCCTCAAATGGATTATTGCTGCCGCTGCAGCCCTCCGAAGTTTAAAGTACTAATTGTTTAATATATGTAAATTATTATTTTCTAAATGCTTTAAAGAAAAGTTGATTTCCATTTACTAATTTGGTAAAAATCTACATTAAGTAAAATAATTCAATTATAATGATAATAAGGAATAGATGTTCCGCTATCGTTCGAAGTAATATCGCTATCCACGATAGTTTCTTTTTATTATCCGAAGAATCTCATACTGAGATTCAGACGTTGATGTTGCAAAAATTGGAAACTTCTGATCGAAGGTGTCGATTTCGAAAGGATTAAGAACCACTGGCGTAACCGATTCGTCTTGTTCGTTTCACGCCGCGTCGGTCGTTCCATTACGTGTGCAGATCGCGTGATATTGCGCGTGCCGTGTATATACGTCGCGTGGATTACGGCCGGGCGAAAAGTCGATACGTAAATGTCGTTTTGCGACCGACTTACCCTCGGCTCGTTCGATGCACGCCGATAGAAAAACCAGGACCATCAGTAGGAAATGTATGCAGATTGACGACTCGATGGCCGATCGATTGCAACGCATGCCGTCAGGTTTAACGGAAACGAGCACTCCTGGAATCACGAACCTCTCAATAAACGAAGAGGGTCGGTGCCTGCGGAATCACTTAGCGCGACGACGACTCAAGGGGAATTTCATTGATAAGCAAAGTCGACGGCGAAGCAGGTTCTCTCTGTTCTGCTATCCGCGCGAGAGCCACTCGAAACGCGTGCAGAAGACAGGAATATATATTATCATCTCGAATGCCGGGTCTGTACCGAATGTAACCAGCGATCGCGATTACGATAACACGATCAACGGCAAAGGATCCCGACACTTGACTGGTCTCGTTGTCGAAGGATTTATTCCGAATCCACGGATATGCGGATACCGATCGATCTCTTCGAAAGTAATATTCCCGCCGATCGATGACGTAGCGATAACGATAATCGTAGACGATAACAAAGAGTATAAAAGAAACGGTTGTTGGAATATTACGGAGAGCTCGGGGAGGATTCGTTGAACGAATTCCAAGGAGAAGTCGGTACGCGAGCCAATCGGAATCGAACACAGAATCACGGCGCCGAGTAGCGGCGACTGACAGCGCGAGACATCGCAAAAACACGACGTTGTTATCGGCGTAAAGGACTATTTGAAAATGTCTGAAGGAAGCTGCAAGAAGAAACTGTTACCCGCGTGGGCTCCTCTAATTTTAGTACCTCCCACTGGAAGAGAATCGCGTCCTTCTATTTCTCTTGCTTCTTTCACTCTCTCTCACACTCTGTCTCCTTCTCTCTCCCTCGGTTTCTCTTTCTTCGTTCTGCTCACAAATTTACTTCTATATCTATTTTAATTCCGTCATCGGTGACATTAGTTCGGTTCGCATAGCGCGACGCGTAATGGGCGCCCCTTCGAGGGGATTTCTTTTTCCGAGCCGATCGCCCTCTTTTCCAGCGTGTAATGGATCGGTAACGTGAACCGAAGAAGGGAATTTGTAACAACTTATCTTTTACGGGGTGGACTCGACGGTGTTGCTTAGAAGCATGGGAATCGTGTAACAGTAGATCTTGAAACCTTTTGCACGATCTGTAATTTATTTATTATCCATTTTTTATCTCTTTTATATGGTTCCTCGAAATTTTTCGTCCACAAGTCACCAGACGCCTTGACGTACGATTTAATGTAATTTTTCAAACATATACTATTTAATTTTGTTTAAATTCGTTCGTACAATGGTCACGAAACAGATTAGATTTACGAATTACCTTGTGAATGTAAAAATGTGTTGATTTTAATATATAAGACTCGACGATTACATTCAGAACTTGTGACGCGTCAGCGGTGTAAATTATAAAACGAAACACTTATTTATTCATTTCGTTGTAAAGTATTCTATGCCATGAATTTCACAAGCATGTTAACAAGTTTAAATTTTCATTTCAAATTAACGATGGAATTTGATCAAAAATTCTTTTTTAGTATTTTCTTCATCGATACCGTTCCAAACTTATTGCAATATCGTCCACGAGTCCTTCTTCTCGAACAATATTCCGTACTGCACATTTATTTTAATTTCATACGAGCGTTATAAAATTCACAGTAAACCAGTAGCTTAAGTCGAACATTTTTTTACAATACATTACCGTATCAGTTCTTTCGATTTATCGCACCCAATCGATTTCAGTGTATACTCTGTAACGTACTGCTTTTTATGGTACGTTTATCGATCCTATACACTTCGTTGAAGATACTGTTGCATTCGATTAACGTACTTGCACGTAAATGTTTCGTTTCAATTAATACATACCGGAGATCGAGCAGAATTTTATTCGAATAATGCGTACCAAACCAGAAAGCGTAAATATACGTATATCAACCAAAGTACATTGAAGTCGATTTATTTACCTCGTAGTAGTATAAACTTTATAGTTCCTTTAAAAACGATTGTTGACCCGTTAATAAATAACTATCGTTATAAATGTATATCGATTCTCCGCGAAGGAGTTCGTTTCGTGATTATACTTGAAACAGGAATGCACGCTGTAAACTACGTACTTATCAAAGGGACTAATTGCTTTTGTCCTCTCTGTCCTCCGTTTGTCGGTTTCCACAGTCGCTTTTTGCGTTTTCTCGCCGCGACTCGGTATAATTCCTGCCGGAGCCTTCGCGGCATTCGCAATTTATTCGCACTTTCGCTGAACCCCTAGCGGTCTTTTTGCGACGGAGGTTTCTTAAAGCCGACCGATTTATTGGAACAACAACACGGGGATCCGTGTACGCGTTTACGCAGCCACGGGATCACAGACGGCTTCCAGATGGGGGTACAGAGCCTTTGAATGCGGCCAATCGCGAAATCTCTCCCATCACAATGAACGATCGAAGTTTCCGTCCGTGGTCGATGTTTATTCAATCGTCGCGAGAGTCTCGCGAATAGTACAGCAGCGGTATTCAAATTTTCAGAAGGTGCTACCCTAAAAGAAAAAAGAAAATTCTTACGTTCAAAATAGAGTTCAAAACGATAAAAGGAAACCAACAAACTTCGCCTTTCTTTGTACGTATTATACAGAACGTCCCAATAATCGTGGTATAATCGGGAAGTAAATAACATTTTATGTAAAAACAAGTCGAAAGTGTGGAATAAAATTTTTTTGTAACACCTTTCATCATCGAGGAAAAGAACTTTGAAAATCTGTAGAATTTGGCGCGCGCAACTAATTGCATTCTAATCAATCACGATCTATAAATATTAAATTTCGTTATATCGAGATTTACGAAATAACTCTGACAATTTATCGTTATTTAGTAATTGTAAATCTTCGTACAACAGATTTAATTAAAACGGTGAACTGCGTTGGAGATTTGCAAATTTTCAAAGTTATTTTTCCCGTTATCCGAAGATCGCAGAAAAAAATGTTATTCTACATTTTCGTCTCGTTTTTGCACGAACAATCGCCTGCTTCTTGGTTGTACTACTATCACTGGGACACCCTATATAGCAACGCGTAATAAATAACAAAGAAGTATACTTGTACAGCGGTATTTTATTCGTCGATTTCTGTATTTTATTAGATCGTACTTCTTCTTGTCTCTATCGTCGCGCTTCCACGGAATTCCGTGCACTTTTATTTCGAACACGACCGATTTATTGGAACAATCGTGTCTAAACTGTACGCGCGTGCGTATTTTCCAGCGATATATTTTGGAACGTCCAGATGCAACCAATCATTGACGGGGCAGGGTCCTCGCTAACGTGCAGCAACCGAAAAGCTGGGCTTCGTGGAAGTTAAATACGCAGACACGCTTAGACGACGCATAGAAACAAAAGTAACCTCATAAATTGACAAAAAAACAAATAATACGTATATTTATTCATCGATACACGTAAAGAAATAGTTTTCTCCAACTAGTATCTATAATCGCGACCTCTGTGCGCTGTACGAAAGTTGAACGCGCCGATCGCGAGACGACGTTCAGTTTACGAATCGTAACCGTGGCATGCAATGGCGGACGACGCGTTGAACGTCTCAATCTTAGCCACTGGCATCCGAACGGGACGAGAGTTTAATTCCCCGGTCGGTTTCCTGACCACGCAACATTAAACAGAGCCCCGCTGGTTGCACATTTCTTTATCGTCGTCCGTCGAGTGACAGTAAAAGCCGGCCTGGGTTATCGGAATGACACTTCGTTGCACTTGAACGAGGTCGTCGGCAGTCTGCTCCCTTGCCGCTTCTTATTCCACAAGCGGATCGAGTGTCCGGCGTAAAAAGATTTACAGGGAGCACAAGGATTTCTTTCACGCGGCTAATTTATTGAAATGTATCGCGTACGTTCAGCCGATCGGGACCGATTCCGATCGCAGCCAACGAGGATCGCCTCGATCCACGTTCCACGCCGCGTCTCGACGAGGACCGTGCTTTTCTTCGATCGCGGCTTCTCCCCTTCGTCGGTATTCGCGCACACGAGGAGACAAACACGTTCAAAACGGTCCACTATACTTAAACGCGTCCTCGTTCGGCGCATTGTTAGCTCGATCCCCTTATTTTATCAATCACGCTCGCAAACTATTTAAATTCCTGCTAGAGATCCAAGACACTGGGTGCTTTGCTTTATCTGGAACAGCATCGCGCGTTGTGCGGTAGATATAATTCTATTAATCGTATGAACATAATAATTAACGAGCACAACGATGCTATCGATCTTGTTTGCAATTCAACGCACTTTGAACAGCCTTTGCTGCGCGCTTTAAATCAACGACCGTGTTGTAAATATGTTTGTAACGGCGTATTTTGATTTTTTTTATGCGTCTCTTGTTATATCGTCTTCGTTTTGTACCTTTTCTTTTCCTGTGTCCTAGTTACACCTTTGTATTATGCATTTTGATTCTCTCAGAATTTAATTGCAGAAGCTACTCGATGATAAACCAAAAATCAGTCGATCAGTTTATGAATACAAGAAAAGTACTCTCGTTTAAAAACTTATTCCTATTGTTTATTTTCCTCGAGGGCCGCTGAGATATCGCGGTTTGATTCAAGGGCTCAACAGATCTTAGGATTCGGTAGAAAAGTCTCATCAAAGAATCTTTTGGCGGGTCTAGGACGAAACCCCGCGATATTTTTGTTTCACCGGCCAGGAATATTACTTGTACGGGCGTAATTAGCTTTAATTAGACCAACGACTCAATCGTGAGAACTGGAGTTTCTCAGGTGTAAATCTTTAGAATCCTGCTATTTATTAATGGGTGTCTTGTGTTAGCGCGTTGTAGCGTGGGATTTGAGGGAAATAAAAACAGGTATAGGTATATTATTAAACACAGCATAACTGAATCCTTTATTTCCAGAGTTTTTCACCGTTGCCACGACCACTCGACGAAATCTTATGTTAACGAGACGGTAGTTTTCCTCTCCCAGCCTACGCGGCTAATTGCTAACGATCTCGTGCTAAATGTCAAACGCGTATCGGCTTTTAATTTCGGTGCATATTAATTAAGCTTCACGATCGATGTGTCGCGGATCGTTACGCTTTCCCGAGACCGTCTATTAGGTTAGTGGGAAATAAATAACCGACCAGCGTTCCTGTGTTTGATACGTTATATTACAAATTTACAAAGTCGTTTTGCAATCCACACACTTCTACTAACAGAGCACAAAGGCCGTTTAGTTCGTCTTTGAAAGAGCTCTGATGTTCCAAATATTCCGAAACTTGGAACTTATTTTTTTTTAAAGTAAATTGCGTGAAGCTTAATATAACGCTTCTCGTTGGAAAACCCACTGAGACATCTATAAACAATATGCTAACGTACGCTTAACATAGCGAAACTATTCTATTCTGCAAAGATTAAATTTTATCGTCCCTTGAAAACAATCGAAGGAGCACAGGAAATGCTTCATGCTTGAATGGCCCAACTTGTGTGACTTTTATATGTACACTCCCACTCGTATTGGTACACTATAATGGTGGTTCACTATAAATGGAAAGAAACTTTAATATATTTATCGGTTTATGTTTGAATAAATTAAAAACAAAAGTCAGCAACCGTGACACGTTGGAAACAATAGTTCTCATCTGGTAACCGAAATTAAGCATCGTTCGACTCGAAAAAAACACGTATTATTGATTTTTATACTGTTTACGTCATTTATACCTTTTCTATCGGTTTTGTAATTTTGTAAAAAGTATTTTGTAAATAGAAGTACAACACAGTGTAATAAACATTTGGTAAAAATATAAACGAAAAGAAAAGTAGTTCCTTTTCATTTGCACTGAATCACCATTGTTATTAATACGAGTGGAGGGGGGGGGGATTAATTGTATTTAAAAATAATAAATTTGAGTACGATAATTGGTATAGCCAGTCAGAGATCCGGTCCCCCATATTGGACGGTTAAGTTTACACCGCATTCGAATTATTCGACCCTAAAAGCGAACTATGGCAACTTCATCGTCGGAGAAGCGCGTGTCCCGGGAACCGTCGAAGATCCACTCCGATTCCACTCTTCCACGAAGATTACACCGCGATTAAACGCTATCTCGGGATCGATCTTGAGATGGGGAAGCAACGGAGGAGCAAAAGCGAGACGGAAAGGGAAGATGAAGAGCCGTAGAAAGATAAAGGGACGCGGCGGATCGAGGGACATGCGCGAAAAGAGAAAGGGAAAAGAGTTTAAACGTCGCCTTGGGGTTCCATTCGGGGTTCGATTGTCTTTTTTAATTAGCTCCCAATCTCTTCGTACCCGGTCGAGTACGTCAACCGTGTCTTCTTAATTGTTAATGGGAATTGCGCCCGTTCCAGTCCTCGGAAACGAGTTTCGTTTGGGGCTGACCGCTCGATCGAATAGAAGCAGAAACTCCCCGGTGTATAAAATTCTAAATTCCCGAGCGATGTTCAGACGTGCCGAAACGACTTAAACCTAATTAATTTCGATCCGCGATTTGTACTATGGTCGTTGTTAACGTGAATCGTCGTCTCAGACTGCATCCGTCGCGTTCGATCAACCACATTCTACTGTGAGGGAGGGGGAGGGCCACTTTTAATCGCTTCAAACAGCGCCCATGAAAACCTTAATCTTTCTATTTTTACGTATAATTTCTATGAATGGGGATTCTCGAATCGTCGAATTTTTATCACGATTTTTGCGTAGCCACCCCCCCTCCAAGTGTCAACTCTTTTAAATCCGCTATAAGATGGGGGGCCAAGACTTTAGGGGCTCACAGTACTTACCAAACGGAATAAAGAACACTTGACCAACACAGAGCACAGATGGCGCCCACCATCTTGGATAAAATCGTTTCTCATTTGTCCAGAATGTTGGCCGCGATCGGGGCGTCGAGTCGCTATCCTACCGGTTATTATATCCGAGAGGGCCACGTAAGAAAGATACGTTTATCGTAAATGCTCCCTGCAACGTAATGACGCGGTCGCGATGTTCCTGCCAATCAAAGACCTCGCGGTGCAACACGGTGTCTTTCAAGACGCATCGCCGCGAAAAATGGCAAAATGGTGGTCTTCCAGCTCTTTCCATCGGTCTCTCGTCGACATAATTGCCCCGTTAAAACGGAACGACTTCACGCTACGACAGGGGCTGCAATATAAATCAATGCACGGGCAACGTTATTAGTTATTAGTGCTCGTGGCCCCCCGTGAATTATTTCCCGCTCGTCATTCCGTTTTTTCGCAATTATATTTTTCATTCTACGATCTAATATCAAAAGTAGATGTATCTGTATCGTAAAACGATTTTCAAAATGTTGAATTGAAAATTACAAGAATAGTGTTAAATTGTATTAAAAGACAGCAGCGTCTTATGATTCTAGTTTACACGAGCTTCAAAACACCTTATTACCGAGTAATGTTTCCACACTTTTTACTCCTTCATATCGCGGTGGTATTCCAAGAGTACATACAAAAAACAAATGATAGAAACAATTTTATCAGCGGTCGTGAACGTTTCTGTACGGAATCGCATACCAGCGTCGCGCAAAATGAAAAATATAACTTCGAATTAAAACTTCTGCGCGGTTGCGGTCCGTCATTTTTTAGAGCGGGAACATTAATTATGGGCAACATTAAGAGCACAAATAGCAGTCAGATGGATCCCGGTATGGTATTAATGGACAAAAAAATGTGTGTAATACTCTAAGGTTAATCGAATCTCGGAAGGATTAAGGATTGCTGTTCCCCCGTTTTTTGCATTCAAACTCGTTTGCCGTTTTGTTGCCCGTTTTCTATTTATCGCGGCTGCTCGATACGAATCACGTATCCGCCAACATCGTCCTTACTAAATCATACGTGATTATGCGGTACGGGATGAAATATAGCGCACGAACGTGTACGAATGCGTTCCGAACGGGCTTTGGAATTTGAATGGACGGGCGCGCTGAATCTGACGAGCGAGTGTCACCGGGTCTGTTAAAAAATTTTACTCACTCAGGTGACTGACGCCCGGCTGAGAGGCGATTACGAACATTTTTCTATGCGACGGGAAAAATTCCGACGTTGGAATTATACTTATTAGTATCTCGTTCTGATTACTTCCTGGAGGCCTGGCGCGGTCGTTTCGTCGGACGGCGTGCGTGTTGTGTCTTAATGGAACACCTTGAATATTATGTCTGCAATTACTGACTATGTAGCTGCTCACCTGGTTTCGAAAAGGAATCAAAATGACCCTCAGAAAAACTCGATGTAGACGACAACTACTACGCGACGAACGAGAAAACCATTTAAAGCGAGGCGGACAAGCAATTAGTATTTTATTTTGAATCGTTCTGTGTCAAATCGGACACAAATTGCAGTAACATTTTGTACTTGTATGTTTCCACGATCGTTGGTACGGTAACTTTTTGTACAAGATCGTTCTAAAAGACTGAGACAAGATGTAGCTCTGTCCTAAGAGTAGATTGATATTCGCAAATTGTTTACTTACTAAAAAGAGTTGGAAATTCATAGAAATATATTTTGAACATTTTTTACTTTGTTTCTATTCAATGATATTAAACATTTTACTTTGCTTGGTCGCAATTCAGAACACAAAATGCCTTGATAATCCCATTAGACGTATAAAGAAACTTTACGAGGACATAAACCTCGCTCGGCGCATCGTTATAGTGCTTTTTCTCTTCGTCAGTACAATAATATATTCGCTTAGAATTGTCGTGTGAAATTCATTTCTCATCCACGGATAGTAAATGCTTCAGAAAAGGTCCGTTTTTATTGCGCGTAAAATACCGGTTATTCTAAAGTCTCTGTTGTCGATACCCTTGTTAATAACTGTGATATTATATATTTTTCCACGACGAGTTCGGAATTTATTAAGAAGATCAAAATGGAACGTTTCATTCCTAGATAAGTCACAGATATTTTTCACCATCGTCTCTACTGTCTAACAACTCGGAAGTAAAACGTAAAAATATAAGCGAAAAGAACAAATTAAATAATGCCTTTTGTCAGAACATTTTATCCGAAATTTGAAGCGTTACTTCAAAAAGTGCTCGGTTTGACACGACACGAGCCACTTGCGCCACAACAATTAAACGATACGATTCTGATGTCCCCTATCCGGGGACCACTTACCGAAGATACGATAAATACAGCGAGTAAAGCAACGCCCAGCCAAAAGTACCAGGCTTCCCAGATATGTCGCGGCGGCCGTCTTTGTACCAGAAGACAACACTGGGAATTGCAACAGCAGTACAAACAATACTTGTCCGGTGTGCACGCGTACGGTTTTATCGTTTCACTATCCCCCGTGCCGTTCCATAGATCCGCGCTGCACTCGTAATAGAAACGTGCCATGTCACGACGCGAACATGATACCTCTTTGTTTTCGTTGGAAAAAATTCTATCAAAGAGCACTCGGAATTTGCCGGTCGTAGCTGAATTTTATTAAAAGCTAGCGAGCCAGCGAGACGACGCGCGGATCGATGAAGCCACCGCATTGAGTCACGAACGATCTAAAAAAATCTTGTTATTTTCAGAATGCATAGCGCGGCCGGCGCCGCTTAATTTACTACTCCAGACACCTGTTCCCCTTACTTACCAGGTTGGTGACACGCGACCAACACGCACAACGCGATTTCTCAGCCGCGCGCGTCTTTATTTCCCCGTGCGGTTTCGTCTTTTGGAACCTTTCAACGCGTCGGTGTGCTCGGTGACAACTGTTTTGCCGCTCATTTGTCCGCACAGCGTTATCACTGACTGGACAGGACAAGCTCGAAATAATCGATAACACGAGCTTGGCATGTCCTTATTCACACGCGACTACCGGATCGATGTACCAAATGACCGAGTTCGAAGCATTCGAAAAACAACGCCCGTAAATTTACAGGAAAATTTTCCCAGCCTTTCTTCTTTTGTTCCGTCCAGAGGATTTACAGTGAAAGGTAGCCATGGTTTACGGTCCAGAAATTTATTATGAAATTCTTGTACGAAATACACCTTTGTACAGTCTATACCTTCAGTCAGATTGAACATCGTGAACATAGTAAAAATCCTTACGTTACGTTTCGACAAGTCTTAAGGAACACGTCGGAAACTGAGACAAACAGTAATCTTAATATTGATTCGTATCGTGGGGTGGTGGTGGCGGAGGTGGGCCTCTCGGTGGGAATGGTGGTCGAAATTGTGGCGGTGGCGGCGGAGGTGGTGGTGGTCCTCCTTGAGATACAGGGGGAGGAGGTGGATGTCTCCAGCCAGGTGGAGGACGCGGTGGCGGAGGTTGAAATTGCCCAAACTGAGGAGGTGGTGCTCCGGTGGAAGAGGGAGGCGGGGGAGGTGGAAATTGGCCTTGTGGCGGGCCACCGACGCTCCAGTGAGGTGGCGGCGCCATCATCCTTGGTGTCCCTTGAGCTTGAGACGTTGGAACAGGCATAGGTGGTAACGGAGGTGGCATACCGGGTGGTAAAGGAGGATGAGCTGCCATCGACATAGGTGGCAACGGAGGCGGAGGAATACTCGACGGAGGAAATCCACTCGATGGCGGAGGAGGAACAGGAGGTGGAGGAGGATGACCCATTGGTGGTCCAGGCGTTGACGGTGGCGGCGGTGGTGGAACCACCATTCCGTGATGCATCACGTGATGTTGAGGATGATGAGTAGGCTGATGAGACGCCGGATTTGAATTTGGCATTGGAGGTGGCGCTAGCGGAGGAGCGTCAGCGAACAATTGATGAGGCCTATCCGCTTGGCTCAGTGGATTCTGTGCGGCTAGCAATCTTTCGGCTGCACTGCCGTGCCTTTCTCCTTTAGCATCACGTTTGAAAGCGTACGATACAGAAATAGGCCTGTTGCACAAGTATTGCCCGTTCATCGCTTCTATACTTGCATCGGATGCATCGAACGAGGCGAAGTTTATAAATGCAAAACCTTTTGAATTTCCTGTTTCAGGATCTCTCATTATCTAAAAGAGGAATAGATTATGATTAAGCCCTATAATTTGACAATACAAATGGTTTTTACCTTTTTCTTTCAGAATTTGTATTACTAGTAGAAATATGTTACCTTTGGTGTTTGAAGAATTACGCCAAACGCACTGAAAGTATCGTACAATAATTTCTCGTCTACTTCTGGATCAAGATTTCCAATGAAAATGTTAGCTCCAACATCCAGGTTCTTTTGATGAGCACTTGCTTTATTCACCCTTATTGGTTTCCCATACAGTTTTATCATATTCATTATTTTAATAGCATAGTCTGCATCTTCTTCTCCCATGAATTCGACAAATCCGTAGCCCTGATGCATTTGTGTCACCCTGTCCTTAGGCATATGGACATTAACTAAAAATGAAGTTATCGGATATATTTCATATTAATATTTAAAAGACATTGTCGCAATATACATTATATTAAGTACAAACCCACTGGTCCTGATTGTACAAATAGTTCCCACATAAGGGACTCCGTAACTTTGTCATCCAAACCACCCACATATATTGTAGCATCTGAAAAAGATTGTACATCATGTAAATTTGCTAGTATCAGTTATAGTTAATATTTCACTTCGGAAGTAAGAATGTTATTCTAATTGTTTTAATTTTAAGGTTATACATAACCTAATATAATTCAATATTCCATGTGTTATAAGAAAGTAACAGGATTTGAATAATTGCTATCCCATGTGTTACATATAAACAGAGCTTTTAAAAATTTATGAGTATTATACAACATAAACTTACCTTGATTACGTTCTGCAATGGGGCCGGCCGCCATAATTACTGTTTAGCCTTAGCCGGAGTCTGTGGATTTACATGTATGCATATGATATCGCAAACATTGTGTTTATTAATTTCCAACGTTTACGGGGAATACAGCGAACGATATACGAGTTTTTAGTTGTTACGCAGATCAAAAGCTAGATGGTAATATTTAAACTTTGTACGCAATAGATTGTCAATCCAATGAACAAGTTACTTACTGAATACATATCATGGCATTCAGTGCATTCGTCTCTTAAATAACATGAACCGGAATTCATTTCTAAAATGTAATGATAAATATTTAATAAATCGTAGATTAATTCTCTGAGTAATAATCTACAAAGTATGGTATTCGATTAGTATATTTAGGCGCAATAAGCGTTTATAAATGTCGCTTTATATTGGCGCCAAAGTGCTCAACAGAACTTTAATGCCATCATTACACACTCGATTACACACAATTAGTGTTTCATAAAGGGACAAATCATCAATTTCGAAACTCGTTTTCAAGTAGGAATTGTATCATGTTTTTGCTGTCGTAAAATTTTATGACCGTGTACCAGTCTTTGTAGCAGTTTTCATATATCATTCAATGTCATAACATTTATTTGGTTACTTTAGTTACTTTTTAATCTTCAATTATTTTTAGCGTCAATACGCATCAAGCATCAAATATTTTTGTTTTCAATTTGAGAAAATTAAAGTTATTTCAATTTATATAATTTATCTGTATTCGGTAAAAAGTTGTGAAATGTCGTGTACGTTAATTGTCTTGAATTAGTCCTACTTATTAGTTTACGCTAATAAAATAAACTGCTACTTCAAATTGTTGTCATCGACTTTATTATTGATCACAACGATTTTTTCTTTAACAAAAGAAAATTATTAGCTTAAATACCAATCCAACTGATTTATTTTTCAGTTAGGCGTCTTGATTGGTACTGGAGCTAGTGACTTTCTCTTCAAACGGCAAACGTCACTGTGATCTAGTAAGTACTTGGACGTTTATTCATCTTGTCATGCAACGAAGGAAAGCGCTAATTCCAGTGCCAAGATACATGTATTAGTATTGTAAACTTTGAATATTAGAAAACATGTTTAGATTTATTTTAATACATATTGATATAAACACAAAATAAGATAAACTTTATAACAACATTCAATAATTTCTATAACTATGATTCTTTAAACAAGAAAATACAATTAAGTTTTATTTTGGATCCTTCAGATATGTTTATGTAGCACTAGTTCCTTGAGTTTCTTGAGTTGCTAAAATTAATACGTCGATAAATATTTCTGTACTTGTATAGAAATTCTACAAATTATATACCTTTGTAAGAATATTCTAAAGCAGTTGCTATGGTCCTCATGTCTCCTTCAATACTGCGTGCCCAATTTTCTGCATCACCAATTTCTTTCAATGCACTTGAAAAAGATTCCACCAGGTTTAGCCAAGATTGTGTCTGTTTGGCAAAATTTGTTGCACTATGTTGCAACTGCTTTGCTTCTGCATCCAATTTCTTCTGATTCAGATATGCTTGGGCCACTCTGCATTGCAAATATGTATTTGATAACATCCTTAGGCTTCACTGTGTGTCAAAGAACATTTACTACTTACCCTACGTTTAAATGATCAACTAAAGCTTGTGTCAAATTACTCGCAGCTTGCACAGCTTCTCTTCTTTTTTGCTCTGTCAAAACAATATCATTTTTAGTAGAATCCTTTGTGATTATAATGAATTTAAGTATAAGAATTATCGAATTACCTTGCCTCTCTTTTCTTGCCGCTTGTTTACTCTGATGTTCTTTTACAATCGTAGATAACATCTTTGTTAATAAACAAGTACAGTATTTTCTTGTAACACTGTTTATAGGTTACATTTATTGTAAATATCCAAATTGTCCTTAGAAATTTATAGTTAATTACATATAAGAAGTATATTTTCCCAACGTACAATTTATATTTACTTACAACAAATGTCTTTAGAATTATTTGTTTGATGTCAGTTTGTCTATTGATCTCAAAAAAAACTGCATGTGAATCTGGTAATTTGATATCTACTTTGAGAATAAAGTCTTGTGAATTCTGCTTAAAACATCAGACCAATGACCAGTGTTTTAACTATATCTGAGCAGTTGAGATGTCCTTAAAATTTCGCCAATAAACAACGCTTAAATATGTTAGGGTTCTGTGTTCTAATAATAAATAATGTGTCATCTATTCAACCAAGGATTGGACAAAATTGTACAAAAACAAGTATTTGTATTGGCACACTACAAAAATACAGTGTTTGCCAGTAGATGGCGACGTATACAAACTTTTTTAATTCTATATAGTATACGGAATAACGAGTATGGCGACTAGTTCTCGTTGGTGTAAAGTTTACCTGTTGATAATCGAATCGGTTTTAGCTCGAAAAAATCTATAGAATTACTTCGACTTTAACGAGGCAAATTGCCTCCAGTAAACTCCTCGTTTGACACAACATTCTATTCTAATGAGGTGGTTAACATTTTCATACAAAACAAGTGTAACCAAACGATGCACCAGAATCTCAAGAATACGAAAATTAGGAAAGAAGTGCTGTCATTGCTTGTACATCTAGCATAAGTTGCTGGACGATGGTTTACAGCATTGTAAATGCTTTGTGATGGACTCAATAGTTAAGAATTCACTAGTGTTTTCATTCACGTCCACTCAGATAAATAAAAATGTAATGTAAATTTCTGTGTTTACCCGCGGTAATTGACACCCTCTATTTTCTTTGGAAAAGAGCATTTTAAAAATTTCATATGAGAGAATGGCAATTCGTATTACGTTAGAATGTGGTCACTCATCGATGTTACGTATGCGCACTACCCCTCAGGGTTATACTCATGATTGGGAATTATTTGTGCGGGGTGTTGAAAACGCTGACATACATCACTATGTTGAAAAAGGTAAATATATTTTTTTAACACGTTTGCTTGTTCTTAGATGTACATAAACATCTCTTTATATACCATTTTTTAAACCTCAGTGGTTTTTCAACTGCACGAAACTTTCTCAAAACCAAAGAGGGTAATAAAGGATCCACCGTTTGAGTTCAAAGAATCCGGCTACGCCGGTTTTGAGATTCCCATTCACATTTACTTAAAAAACAAGGATGAAGGAATCAAAAAGATCGAAATTTTATATGATCTTAACTTACAACCTAGTGGACCTGCCATTACAAACGTGATACGGCATACTGAAATAATTAATAATCCTTCAGATGAATTTAGAAGAAAATTATTGAAGGGTGGTGGTGTAAGTAAATACTTTGTCTTACTTTGCATAGCTTTTATTTATATGTTTAAAGTTTATAAACGAAATATTTGTACTAACAGATCATTGTATCCAGTTCCGAAAGTTCAGCAGAAAAAAGTGAAAATAAGACACCAACTATGGTTAGCAAACCGAAGTTAAGTGGAAGCGAAACAAAAAAGCACAAAACCGTGGAGTCAAAGACATCAAATTCTTTTGCTGAATTGTTTGGGACTCCTTTGAAACCTACAAAGGTTTCTCAGGATACCAAAAAGCCAACGCAACCGGAAAAATCATCGGCTCCTAAACCAGTAGTTACCACAGAAAAGTCGGATAAGGTGGAAAAAATATCAAAACTAAAAGATAGCCCTCACAAAGAGAGTAAAAAAGAGAAAGTAGACGATAAAAAGGATAAGAAGATCAAAGATCAATCGAAAGATAAAAATCGGAGTAAAGAAAAATCAAAAAGGCCTTCTAGTCCAAGTAATAAAAGTCACTCGAGCCCCTCTAACAAAAGACCTCCATCGCCAGTTTCATTGAAAAGACCACCTAGTCCCTCCACTCTCCCTCCTGCAAAGAGACCAGCTTCTCCAAAATCCAAGGAGAAAGAGTTGAAGAAAGTGGTTTCAGAGAAGGAGAAGGAAAAAGGCAAAGAAAAGGATAAAGCGAAGGATAACTCGAAGAGCGCGGCAGATTCTTCCAAGAGCGAGAAGAAAAAGGATAAAAAGAAGCACAAAGAGGACAGAGACAAGGAAAGGAAAGACAAGTACAAAGAAGGAGAACGGTCTGCCGCTAAGGAGATTCTAAAATTGAATGAAAAGAAAAGCGACAAACCGGATAAATCGGAGAAATCCGAAAAGGAGAAGAGTCAAGAATATAAATCGGCGAAAGATGGTAGGAAATCACCAAAGCCGTCGAAGGAGGTTGAAAAGCCAAAGGAGGAAAAGTTATTGAAGATAGAGAAGCCAGAGAAGACTGAGAAATCCGACAAAACGAAAGACGGGAAGAATGAAAAGGACAAGCAGAAGCATAAGCACAAAAAGAGGGAGAAGAAGGATAAACGGGACAGCAGCAAGGAAAGGGACAAGAAGGAGAAACGCGACAGGATAAAGTCGTCGACGGAGAAGCAGAACAGCGTGCCAAACGTGCCGGTAGCCAACCCGCTTTCGACTTTATTGGCCGAAATGCCAGAAAGGGATAGCAGCGATTCGGCGCCATCCATCGACGACGATTCCTTCTCCGAGCCAAAATTACCACCCCCCGTTAAAAAGGAGATGGAGAACGTGACAGTGTCCACGCCGCCCACGGAAATGGCGAAACCACTTTCGCCCGGAATGCCGACGGACATCAAGAAAGAGAAAGCGGATCGGAACAAGAGGGAAAAACCGAAAGGGAGCAAAGGGGAGGAGAAGGAAACCCGTAAGAGGAAACGGAGGAGCGAGAGCAAGGGTGACGATGAACACGCGGTTAAAAGAGAGAAGGACAGAGGGCATTCAACTTCTCCTCCTTTGGAGCCAGTTTCGTCGAGCCAATCGCCGGTTGTGGTAGACCAGGAAACGGTTCATATCGCGAAAGATAAGGAGGATCGTCCCGCGACCGAGCAGGTCGTTGAAAAAAGTGTGGAGACCGAGGCGGAACAAGTGGCACCAGATTCGACGAACAGTACTTTGGTCGATACAGAGATGGGGGAGCCGCCAGTGTTTTCGGAGGATTATGTGTCCCAATTGAAAGACTTGCAACAAAAGATAATGACTCTGCAGGACAACCAGGAGCTACAGAGAGTTGTTCAGGTGATCGCGGAGACCGGTCAGTACGAGATCACGAAGAAGACATTTGACTTTGACCTGTGCGCCCTGGATCGTAGAACAGTGCAGCGCCTACAGCAGTTCTTTGCGTCGTGACCGTCTGTAGCTTAAAAGTATATGACATCTCCTTCATTTTACATATTATTATTCTATGTATAAGTCACTAAGTTATTTGAGCTTACAAGAGATTCTTCCACGTGAATATAAAGTAATATATAAGACCCCAGACGGATATTGCACATGACACCTCCTCGGCAAAGGAGAGGAAATCGTTTTCTTTTATCTGGGCGCACGCTTGAATTTCATTGTTCTTTCGTTTCAGTTTAACGACCCGCATACATTTCGATCGCGTCGCGGATATACGTATGCATAAATTATTGCATAGAGGGGGATTTAACGAGGAAACGAGACACGACATTATTGCTTTTTAACTCCAGGTCCTTCGTCTTTGTCACGAGATCGGCTTATTTTCTTACATTTATACACGTTTCCAGCACTTGTTACTTTTTACGTTAATTTTGTACATAGGTGATACATACATATAACTTGTATAAAGCACGGATCGGGAATTGTACATTTGCATCGTCGTGTAACATAGAATTTTTACCGTTTATCTGGGGAACGTTCTCGAAATGATCTGCAGTGCATTTATTCACGTTATGTAGACACGAATATATATTGTTTTCTTGTATATTATAATGATGAAAAACATTTTACGTTTTCGTTTCATCGCGTAATCGGGGTCGTTCGAAAAAGAAAATTCTGTGCATCGCATTGCCTTGTAACATAGATATATTCTTGATATCTCGCGAAGAATTTAACGTAGGTTCATCCTCATGAATCAAGGACACCTTCTATTTATTGATATTTTCATACGCGTTGTATTAATATAAGAACATTCGAGGCGGTCATTCGGTCATTTTACATTTATCAGTGAACGTCGACGTACTTTTTTTTTCTTTCTTTTTTTTTCTTCTTCTTTCTTTTTGTATTATACATATACGCAATGCATTGGAAACGAAGCGGGACGCGCTTCGATGAGTCTTCGTCGTCTCGAAAAAGAATAATAATTTATTGCGTGGTGTGCGCGCATTTGATGCGCCGTTTCTTATTTACTTTTTATAAAGAAATATTTTCTAAGTAACCGTTAGACTGGATTATACGTTCGACAGGGATAAACGACATCGACGCGTCGACTAGTTAATGATACTTTTATACTTGTTTCCGAGCTCTTAGCCATGTCATCGTGCCTTCGAAGGAAAAAATCTTGCTGGAAATCTTTTATTCGAGGCACGTTATCTCTCTTGCTCTCGCATAACCGCGCGTTGATATCACCCGCGCGGCGATTCTATCGATATTACATTCACGATTTCATTACACGAGAAACCGCGTTAACGATCTGAACATCTCTCGCTGTGCTATTCACGCGGTTTATTCCATCGCGAAAGCGGGGGAACTTTGAGTTTTCCGTCATGGAAATTGCCAGGGACGAAATTTCTTTTCAAATCCTTAGGAAGCCATTGCCACCGGGCTAGTAGGTCATTAAAATGGCAACCGGCTCACAGTGTCGAGGATTCCACGGACAGACGCGCGATATTCGCGCTAAATACAAGGTGTCTTACGAAAAAATTCTCCCCGAATGCACAATTTGTAACGTTATTTTTCAATTTTATTCGCTGTCGTTCTCGATTTGACGATGTTTGGGTTAGGAACGGAGGCCATTTTGTTTTTCGATCCGCATTTTCGGTGGATATTTGTAAAATTCACCGTCGTCGCGAATATTTCGCGTCGGTCGATAGGGATCCCTCAAAAAATTAGAAGTAAAAACCTCGTGAACTATACCGGGGGCACTTAATATTTATTTTAAAGGGAGTGTATATCGTAATTTTGCTCGATACGAGTATTGTATAAATCAATAGCGATGCCCGTTCCCTCCTGTGCTAATGTATTTTCGAAAAACCGTCCAGGACGGCGATATATATATATTTTTTTTTCTCTTTTTTTTTTTACCGATGCATTTGTCCGTTTTACAGACGCAATTGTGAAATGCCACAGAGCGATCATGACGTTGCGTACAATCGACACACCAAATAGTCTAATGTTTTTGATAACTTTGTCTAGGTAACGAAGATTGTACAATTAGGTAACGAATATCACGGTAGCCTGTATAATTTTACAGCGCGTTATTTATTGTATTTAGGATAGCGCCAGAGTTTCGATCGAACGTGTCGAAGCGTCGTGTCGAGTGTACGTTTTCGTGATATTTAATCTAATCGTAGGTAACGTTAATTGTGTTAAATTTTTTTTTTCTTTTTTGTTTTCGTTACGTCACGCGCAGGAATCGATTGGCGGTCGATCGGGGAGAATTCGAACCGATTAACGATCCCGCGATCGTGCAACGAAATTAAGAACGTTGATTCTTGGGATTCGTACTATAAAGTTAGCGATCGTAATGGTTTCCACGGTATAGAGTGTGCTCGGGAATCGAAATAATTCTTTCGAGGCGAGGGCATTACCAGAAACTGCTGGATAGTTATTGTTGGCTCAATATATCATCGCATACGTTATTATTAATTTGTGATTTTACACGATCGTTCGTATAAGAGACTTTTCGCGTAGGCGTACGTCGTATCTATCGTTAGTCGCGTAAATGTAAAATACTGCTGCGTCGAGAGAGAGCTTCGAACATCTTTCTCCGTTGAACGAGTATCTCGTTCGCCAAACAGATACCAATGAGGCTTTAAAGAAAGTTTGAGTGGCCTACCGTGCCAAAATACTCCAGAATTTTCTTACGTTACGAGCGGAAAAATCGACGCGATACGTCCCGATATGCAATATTATCGACGAGATCGATTCACCGAGCGATTTTCTAGCTGATCGTAATTTGCGTTGCAGTGCCCGTTGTTTTTCATTGTTAACAGTGGTATATATGTACACTACCGTTCGCAAAGTATTTTCCCAACCTGTGCAGCATCTACTCTGTTTAAGGCAACGAGACGCGAAACTTTTCGTCCCACGAATGCTTGTATATTATTGCTTACACTTAATCACATAAAAAATGCTTAATTTGTTATAAAAAATATATACTCAAAAGTTAAATCGTTGACTCGTCCACCGCCACGATGATCGGCAACAGCCAAACTACTTTACTAAAAATTTACCGCTATAACGAAGCCTTTGAACATTAAAATATAATTTGGTCTCAGGTTTGATTTCTTCTAACACTATCTCTTTGCATCCTGGTATTGCCACAGATTGGCTTATCAACCTAGTCATCAGAACACGCATAATGAACCGCGACATTTCTATCCTGAAATTAGTCTAATTTATTAAAAGATCCAATGCATAATCCCCACCCACCATAATGTGTTCCTACGAGGCTATCGGGCTGGTAATATGGAATCTCTATTTCTATCACGTTGTTTACTGTAGTTTGAGCATACAGTTACTTTCACTCGTATTCGTATGCTGTGATTCACTATAAATGAAAAACAATTGTTTCTTACGAATCGATCCGTTATCCATTTTTGTATACATTGAGATATTTAAGAGTTTAAAGTAAAAAATACCACGTGTCGTTGATTTTTATACCGTTTATATTATTTATATCTCTCTATCGGTTTTATAATTGAACACGTTAATATTAAAAAACAAAGACAAAACTACATGGTAAATAGAAGCAATACAGTTGTAATAAACATTTGATAAAAATAAATATAATCACCATATTATAGCGTACGAATACGAGTGGGGATAGCTGGTATGTACCATATGTATGATTAAAATAAGAATCAGTGTTTAATCGCTCCAAATTGGCGTTCGTACAAACAACATCGTTCATTAACCTATCACGTCTCGATGCTGTACACAAAATGCACACGCTACGTTAGATTTCTATTAATACTTTGAAGCGTAAGCTACCTCTGAAACTTACAACACCCGTTTGTCAACAAATTAATGCGACCAGCTCCTAATCCTATGTTCACATTCAGCAATACGCGAGTCTGTAGATCACTCGCGAGAGAAAGTGGTATGTTACGTAATACCGCTGTGTTTTTCCTTACGAAATAATGAATTTGCAAATTTGTAATATAATGATAGTACTGGGTAGGAAAATACTTGGGAACGGTAGCGTACACGCATACGTATACGATGTCCGTTTATTGGATGTGTGTGCTATTTTATCTTTATTGTTTTGTAGATACCATTAATATTTTTACGAACGGCAAGATTGTATATTTTTTGTTTGTTGCATGCTTGAGTTTTAATTGACTATACGTTTACGTGAGGTGTCGTGCGTGTTTGTAGATAGGTGCACAATCATCAAAAATTATTCTTACGAACGCTCGAGGCACCTGGAGATAGGCTAATGTTGTATAAAGTATATGCACAATTGCGCGAAATGAGATTTCCCGACGATTATATCAGTTGTAAATAGTAGATAAGGAACCGTGAACGGTTAACGTGTATAGATATAATTATTCATGATTTTCGAGGATATAGTACAAGACGGTACTCCTGAATTTATATGCCATTCGGTGTACATTTATACATTCGGTGTACATTTAATAAGTACCCTGGTGACTAAATAAACATCTTATATAATTGTGCCTCTAAAACAACTATATCACGACAGTGTTTGAATCAAAATGGAAGGCGCGCGTTCCCGACGTGTCGCTGGAGAAACCATTTGTCCATCGTGTTTGCTCGATCATCGAATACTTACCTCCTCTCGTCGCACAAATTGTCGGATCTTTGGTCAAAGTTCGCGTGGGAACGCGGCTCTTCTCGAAGGTGAAAGCAGTCACAGCGTGTTTTCGTCCCTCCACTCTTGCTGTGGTCGGCTGACCAGCGGACCAATACCCGCGACGGTGGGCGGAGTCAGCGGACCGAGGCAGGAGTGGGGGAACGTAAACACTCTGTGACTTCTCGTGGATGAACGGTAGTCGAACGCGACAGATTGAAAAGCGCGTTTAATTAGTAACGCATACCACATTTCAGCAGTTTTATTGGGTCTCGTGTAATATTTGGTACAACAGTGTAACAGAGTAAAATTTTCGTACGATCTCCATGATATATTGACCAACGACGTCGCGTAAACGTAGCATAATTTAGATAAATAACATCCAATCTTCGACGTGTCCTCAGCCCCTTGCTTCTTTCGTCGTTCTCGCAACGATGGGTCGAGTACTCGAGGTCCTACGCGCGTAGCGATCGTAGTTCCATCCCCACGCGTGATATTGCGATCGTTATACGAAGCATAGAACGGACGAAACAGTTTAGTATCCCGCCAGTTCGGCGAACGTGGAGTCCATCTCGTCGGCGAGCGACTTGTATCTGTCCTTGTTGATGCCCAGCTCGTCTGCAAAAGTTCAGAATACGCGTTCAGTTCTCAGACACCCCTCGAATCCAACGAATACGGTCCTACGTGTGTTTTTTCTACTCGATTTTTTATGCGCCTGGCCGGTAAACGGTTTCGACATAGGACAAGTGAATCTCAAACGATCACATCTGAGCCGGGCTCTAGGTATTTAACGGACAAGCGCAGACCGATCTACTCTCGTTTCAATGAATCCAAGTCACGGTTTTAGAGTGAACGTGAACGCGTCGAATTCATCGTTTTCCTATTTCGGCTAGTGGAAGAACGGGTTAAAATCCTAGGCAAAAAAATGTTCACGCGTGATCGGTGCTGGGTGCAACAGCATTCGTCCTAAACAAAATTTGCACACTAGCTCTCGAGGGTGCATAAAGTCGTACAACGTTGGTGTATGTCGGTGTGTTTGTACGATAGACAAAATTGTGCACAAAAAGCATCGTGTCGCACATTTGCACGCGTGTAAAAGCAAACGTTAAGTGGTAGCTTTAATATAATTCTTTTTTCTACGGAAGAAAACTACATTATCGTCCATCGCTTCGGTATTCTAGTCGGAACGAAATTAATTGGTCTGCGCGAGGCCAGGCCTCGTAACGATCCATCGGAACAAAAAGACCGTGAACGATGGCGGACAAATTGATTTCGATCCAGCTGCAATCTCATTTATCGTGTTACATGTAATTTTCTTCGTTCGGTTAATCACATTGCTTGAAGCATGCAAGAATCGTGAGGTGTGGTATACCTTTGCACGAGTGTAAGGCAAACAGTTTTGCGAGGGGTTGGCAAATGTACCTGACGTACGACGGCCCATATAAACGTGCGAAGCTTTTGTTTTTTTTTTATTCTTTCTTTTTTTTTATTCTGTTAAGCGCCTTGTGTGCTCGTGTGTTCGATGTACGCGTATATATATATTAATGGACAATGCTCAACGTGAAGGAAAAAAAAATGATATAGTTCACGCAAAAACAAAGCAAAGCGCTCCCCAAGTGGGACGTTACGAATAACGGAAGAACGTGTGGCGTGAAAATAATAAAGAGAATCGTTGTGTGTCGCAAATTATACATGAGCGTAGAGAGAACGAGAAAAAGCGAAAGAAAAAACATACAGTGCGTTTCCTTTTTGTTCTGTAAAAACGATGTTTGTTAAAGTGAAAGAAAAAGAGAACGAAAACACGCCCAATCTCGAAAGCTGGCGGGGAGAAAAAAAGAAGAAAAACGTAGCTAAAGCGGAAAAGTTTCGTGACGAGTGATGTCTTTCGAGCGAAGGAATAAAATTGTGAACGTTTAGGACGAACGTGGGTGACTTTTTTTTTCGTTTCTTTTTGTTTTTTTTTTTGGTTTTTTTAGTAGCCAGAAAGCTCAGCGAATGTCTTGTCCAATTCTTCGCAAATCGTTTTGCGTTTCTCCTTCTGCTGGTGCAATACGTCTGCAAAGAAAATCAGTTGTGTTGCACGATGATGTGTCATTATCACGAAAATTTATAACGAACACTACCTTCGCAATCTCTGTAACTATGAAATATTTGTTACTAGTAAAAGTGAATACTGTTTCTTAAATCAATCTCTCAGATTCCCGACTTCCCACGGACGACCGAGCTATAAATTAACAAATTATTTTCGTTCGTTTATTAATCATTCGACGCGTTTAATACCACGGTTGCTCAAGGTTGGCGAAATCGACCGGTTCGATCCCGTTACCGCGATGGAGTCGAATAATGGCAGAACGGCACGTTGTCGTTTTGCCAAATTACGTCACGTTGTCAGCGGTCCAACGTCGGTGAAAAATGGTACAACGACGGAATTTCGTAACGGCAGAATTTGTTCGAAATGCTTTCGCGTAAGAGAATAAACGTCGTTGACTCACCTTCGAGCCTGTCGACCTCCTTTTGCAGTTTCTTGACGGTTTTCTCGGCGAATTCGGCCCGGGCTTCCGCCTCCTTCAGCTTCACCGTCAAAGTTTTGAGTTGTCGCTTGAATTCCTCGACTCTTTGGTTAGCCTAGAAACGATCCACTTAGAAACTCGTATCAATTTCGAATGAAAGAACAACGATACTCACTTTCTCCTCGGAAACCTCGAGAGACTTCAAGCTGTTACCGACAACTTTCAGTTCCTCCTCCAGCTCCATGATCTTGCTACAAAACAATCGTTTTCACGCTCAAGTTTTTCTCCTGTTTCTTTCTCCCGACGAAGTAGACACTTACGCTTCGCCGGACTTTACTCGATCCTCCGCGACTTCCAGCTCGTCCTCAACGAAGGCCAGCTTTCGCGACACTTCGTCAGACTTTCCGTCGGCGTCCTCAGCGAGCAGACGCGCCTCCTTCAGTTGGTTCGTCAGCTGATCCATCCTCTCTTCATCTTGTTGTGCACGGTTTTCCAATACTTTGCACATACTGAAACACAAGCACGCGTTAACCCCTCGTTCTACGATTTCTTTAAATATTTTAGCTGGAGTATCAAAATTGTGTCTGCAGGGCCCTTTTTTTTTACTTTTTACGCCAAATGTGATAGTTGGATGTGACTAAGCTGGCTATTAGTGAACGCAATTCTATTTTTGTTGATGAGTACCTGTAATAACTTCAATATCAAATATCTAAAAAACTATAAGTTGTATATGCCTAAAACCGGGTATCATTGGATTCTGGAGCTTAATATCTATCACTGAGCGAAACCTCATCAAAAATGAGAATGTTGGTCGAGCACTTGTCCCTCTAATGGCGAGTACAGGAGGCGATGGATCCCACAAGTCCATTTTTACTTAACCCTTAAGTGGCTTACTACAAGTTTAAACTAATAATTGCTTAATATATATAAATGTAATTGTTTGAAAATTTATGTATTTCTACTTAAGTTAATTATTTTTAAAATGCATTGAAGGAAAGTTGATTTCCATTTACCAAATTTGGTAAGAATCAACATCAAGTAAAATAATTCAGTTGAGATCGAGAGTCCACTGAAGGGTTAAGGGATCGAGAGGATCGTTGTACAATTTAATCGAAACAATTACCGGCTGGACTCGTCAGCAGCCTGGGACGCCTCGGCTAACTTGGCGGTGGCGGTGTTGAGTCGTTCCTCGGAGCGTTCCAAATCCTCTTCGATCAGTTGGACTTTTCGGTTCAGAGCGGCGACTTCGGACTCGGCCTGAAATCGAAGAGACACGCGTGACTCATTGGCCCTTACCCTAAACGGGGAGCAAGAAGGGAACAACAGATGATTTCGCCGTCGCGAACACTGAGTCATCGATCTTAAAAGAGGCGACTACCCAGGTTCGATGACAAGACTAAAATAAAACATGGCGGGAAGCTTGGTTGGACACGGTCCAAGATAAACTGGAGCAGCTGGAGTCGAACGTTTCGAGTGACACTCACGTTGGTAAGGGCCTTCTCTTTCTCTTCCAGGTCCTTGTTCGCCTGTTCCAAGTTCTGTTTGTTGGACTCGAGGTCGCCCTCCACCTGAGTTAGCTTCTTCTGCAACTCGCTGACCTCCTCGTTGACCTTGTCGGCGCGCATATTCGCCTCCTTGGCCTGGCCCTCGCAGGCGTCGGCCTTATCCATCGCGTTGTCCTTCTCAAGCTTCATCGCTTGCATCTTCTTCTTGATCGCGTCCATGGTGGCGACCTTTTTCTCTTGCCGGTTTCCTTCGTGAAACTATCGAGTTCGCTGAAATTTCCCGAACGATTTTTATTTCGGTGTTCTCGGGTTTAGCGACAATTGTCTCGATCGTGTGTTCGGAATTTGGGGACGACGATACACCGTGATCTTCGTTGATCGTTTCGATGCGTTAGATCCTCGGTGATCGAACGGAACGGCGCGTAAAAGTGGATCCAGGAATCGATCATTCATTTTCAATTCGAAGCGTACGCGAACGATTTTGGGGTTTCGAATCAACGATTTGTACCTTCTCATTCTTGAATAAATTACGATTATCGGACGGATCTTTTGCTTTTGTTTTTAAAAAATTCGTATCGTTATTATCTATCGAGAATATTCGTAATAATTTTCACACGGATTCGTAGATATTTGCGTCCTATTTAGATAACAAATGAAGTTTCTTTTTTCTTTCAATTTTTCGTTCCATAAAGGAGTATATACGAGTCTGCTTAGTCTTGACTAATTTTAGAAATTAAGTTCCCAAGTGTATAGCACAAAGGATGAGAAGTCAGTCTTGGAAGAAATTGTAAGTTGTGTCGTGTGACACTGTTTATATTTTTGATATTTGTTTCTCTTTGCAATATGTATTTATATAATTCGTGAGGTAAGAAAGGTTTGGAACGAATTAACTGGGCAAGCCAGGATGTTTATGCTACTCACAAGTTATTAATAATTTGCATTAAGTTATTTCCTTGCATTTGTGTTCAGATTACTTATCAAAACAAGAGCAAAACTAATATCATTGCAGTGCATTTATAAAGTTGAAATTTGGGCTTATGTAGATTTAGATGCGATCGTTTTTCAGTGTTCCTCAAACTTCTTTTATAAAAGAAAATGAATATATTTATATATTTATGATTAAAAATTTTGTACACAATTTAAATGAATTTTTTAATATATATATGTACAAAACATATATGAAAAAGATTGATGAACTTACACGAGTTCCTTTAGAATTTATTTAATAATACGATCATTCCTTTTATGGAACAGTAGTAAAAATTCTGTATTATTTAGCTTTCAGCTGTTATTGGAATAATAGATAATTGGTAAGATTAATAAACAAAGCTTTTTTTCAGTTTTTCTTTCCATAAAGTAGTACATATAGATTCCCTTAATTTTGAATAATATCCGACACAAAGATTGAAAAATCGTACGTTCCAGCAATACATTCCCGACGTTTGTTCGATAAAATAGTGAAATTTGTATTCGTCCATCGTGAAATATTCAACAAGTATTTTAATTCATTAAATTTTTATTTATTTCTCGACTCTTTTATCTAGATATTTGTCACAGCATTGTTCCAAGGAGTTAGGTTTGGGTAAATTCCAGCAAAACATTCTCGACGTTAGTTCGATAAAATAGTGAAATATTTTATTCAACAGGTATTTTAATTTATTTAATTTTTATTTATTGCTCGATACTTTTATCCAGATATTTGTCACAGCATTGTTCCAAGGAGTTAGGTCTGGGTAAGCTCCAGCAAAACATTCTCGACGTTAGTTCGATAAAATAGTGAAATATTTTATTCAACAGGTATTTTAATTTATTTAATTTCTATTTATTGCTCGACACTTTTATCCAATTCGTCGCGCGTTGTCCCAGGGGTTCGCGCGATCGTGGTTTGAGAAACGCTGGGTCGTTCGCGATCCCTCGGCTCCTGGGGCCTCGTTCGACTTTCGTGATCTCCGATTTTAACCCTGAAGACGTAGGAACGCGCTGTATAAAGCGCGGGTGTAGCGAATAGCTGCGGCTCCTCGCATATTTCGACGATCCTCGCGAGTTCTGCGAGTCATAATCGGCCGGATGATACCGTCCTCCGTGCCGCGAAGAGAGGAGAAGAGCACGTCGGTGCGTCTACGGAAATAGCATCCATAGGCAGGCTCTATAAATATGCGCGGAACGACGAAGAGAGGACGGCGGCCGGCGTTTCTGAGGCCGCGAGGCGAGGAGGCCAAAAAGCACAAGCGTAACCCAGAAGAACGGGCTTTACTTGGCCGCCACCGACGACCGACATTCGATCTAACTGCCGCGTATTAATAGCATTTACGAAATCATCGCCCGGCACCTCGCGATCTCGCGGTTAGATCCTGTGAATACATCGAAGTCCTCGACGCTCGCGGTTCATTTCATTTGGAGCACGCTCCGATTGCTACAAACTTTCCCTAATCTCCTCGAACTTTACGAGAAACAAATCCTTTTTCTACGGTCGAAACTCGATAACTCGAACCTCAAAGGGAACAGCTAAAATCCACGAGTTACAGAGGCTCGATATACGAAAATTCGACTTAAAGGAGCGAATTATTTATTCTATACACGCAGAACATAGTCATAAGCAAACTCTATTACGGACAAAAGACTGCTGTTACTGATTGTTACTAAAAAGAATCCGTAATTTTGATTGTTTGTCAATGTCATTTTCAACAACTAGAGCAGAAAATATATTGTCTTCGATGTCATTAGATTTTTCTGTAAAACTTCGTCTTATCCCAGCGTTCATTTATTTCCATTTCATTTTTCGAGCTATCGAGGTTCGACTGTGTAATTGTCTCCTCAAAGACTTCCTTACTCGTCCTTTCAGGGCGAACATTGAAAACTACTTCATCCGGTGTGAAAATTTCATTATCCATAAATTCTAGTATCGAGCAATTTAATATTTGTTGACTTGCGATGCACGTTTATGTCTGCTGTACGTTGACACCGTTTGCAAAGGATTGGAGGCAGTTTGATACGATATAAAACTATCGTGTCCAACCTGTCCACGTTTAATCATCTTATTAAATATATTTTATTATATTATTAGTCTTGACTTCGACCTTGTTTTATAAACAAGCAACAACAGTTTCTAAACGTGTCTAGTTTCTAACGTAAAGCAATAAGCAAGTTCAGAATAATAATGTCGAAAGTGTTTTGCTAGTTTCAATTTTTCTGTCTTCCCATCTTACTAAAAAAGGGAATCAAAGTTAGACAGATTCATATATACATCCTTTGTGACGAGAGAAATTGAAAAAAATGTCATTTCGTCTATCTAACTAGAAATCTGCGTAATCGTAGGACTTAATTTAGGATTTAATTTATTTATTTCAAGATCATTTAACCCTGCAAAGAAAATGGTAAACGGTGGTTCTACTGCAAGGATCTAGAAACAATGTCAATGTAAATAGCGTTTTCACGATAAAAATGCTACATCGTTATCGAAATTCTGACCACTCGTGAAATTTTTAATAAAAAATAGCAGAGTCCGAAGTCCAGAGTGAGTCCTATCGTCCGTAAAAATATTTTGATCGACCTCGCGAACGACGGGGAACCGAATTCTTTACGGGTCGAAAAAATTCGTAAATAATCGACGAAAGAACGCGAATGACGTAGAATCGTAGTTGGACGCGTTTCGATTCATTTAATCGATCGTTTGGAAGCTGAATGGCAACAGATTCGACCCTCTTTCCGTGTATTAATAGCGTTCGGGAGGTTTTCGTGTCTGGTTACTCGCGGGGCGCCAAAGTGACATTAGAAAATGGATTTTCGAAAGTCAATAACAGCGATCGACTTCGAATCGTTTAGTTTTACAGGTACCGGGATGTTTAAAGCGTTAAAAGGACAGGTTGCAGAAGCGTGTTACGTGACATTGCGAGTGCTACTTACGCCATTGCGTTACGCTCAAGCCAAAAAAGCAGTTTTTTTCGAAGCGTTAGTCGCGTTACTGTTAATCCAGAGCGGTTAGAGTGCCTTGCAAAAGCGTTCCAGTCCTTCGTACCACTGACGCTCCCTGCAAGCATTTCAATAGCAGCCGTCTCATTTTTTATTCGTACAACATTTGACGCTGGAAACGACAGAACCAGAGATTTTTCGGATCATTGATTCGTAAGTGCGCAGTATCGAACGGTTAGCGGTTGAAAATAGCATAAACTGACCGACACGACGATCCAAACCCAGTTTATTTTCGCCACAAAGTAGACGCAGACGTAACGTAATAATAGCAGTTACGATACTCGAACGGTTCCAGCGTCAATGAAAGAAAAAATACCTCACCTCGAGAACGGATCGGTCGGTGGTGTGAAAATCGTTAAGGCCGAAGCAGCGTGAAAACGTTAATACTACTTACAAGCGTCGTGAAAGCGGACACAGTCTCTAAAACCTTCGAGCGGTAAGCTCCTAGAAGCCAAAGCTGTTTCATTGTATGTGGATGGGTTGCAAAGCCAAAAGTTCCATCTTGGTCGACCTTAGATCGACCCAAGCGTCTACGATTAGTAGCGTCGATGTCTTCGATGGCGGGTCGTGGGAAAGTTAACGATTTATCATTCGTTCCTCTTCCAATCCTGCGTATCGGAATACAGTCTCACGGAAGTCCTTCGTCGACAAGCAGAATTCCCTTTTCCACCGTTTCGCGAGACGTTCGCCGCGCACGTTCGTCCACATTCTACCATTTTTGTCGTTCTCTTTCGTTTTTTTTTTTCGGCACTCGCGTTTACGATCGTCGCGATTTCGATGGGGGTACGAGAGATACGCGAATTAGCGACTTACGACGGGATGAACTTTGCTCCGAGATTCACTTACCTAACCCGAGCGAGCAGAGTGGCGCGAGTCGAGTGTACGAGGGTGCTCGGAAAAGCTTATTCGTCGTCGAGAAGCGAGAGCTGAACTCGCGTACGACCGAACGCCGATGGTGGGGGAGCCCAAAAATGGACCGCCGCGGAAAGTTCTACGGGGGTGGGGCCCAGAATGTTTATTTTCTGCTCGCGTATTCTCGAAAATTTCTCTCACCTTCCCGACACGAACACACCGCTGGATCCAGCGATCGATTCGGTAATCGCTGGACAACGCGTCATTTGAGGGAGGAAACCACTGTCACTGTGATCGAGAAAATCGAAATGCTTTTCAATGCTTTGGGGCTTCAAGAACGACTTCCTAAAATATTAATGTAAAACTCGCAAAAATGACAAGGTCACAGAAGATTTAGTAGACGTAGAACATGTAATATGCGTGATGCTTGAAACTAACTGCTCATTTGATACTCTTTCATTGTTGAGAGTATTTAGTCTACAGCGATGAACGACTAAAGTGGTCCAAATGGCAACTCATTTAGCCCTAATTCAATTTCAAAGACACGTATTTGCATTATTATTTATTATTGTATATTGTTTATATTATCTCTCTCTATCGATTTTGTAATTGAAATTAATATTGAAAATAAAAAAAAACTACTTTATAAATAGAACACAGTGTGATAATAGACAAAATTTGGTAGAAATAAATGGAAAAAATTCCTAAATTCAAATTTCATTATAATACAAAAAAAAAAAGAGTTAACAGTGTTGTATACCTCTACCAGTCGTACTTACGTAAAAATAGAAGAAACGAATGAGATAATGTGGCGATGGAGTGCCTACTATTACAACCAAATATTAGAAATATCAGATTTTATAATGTAATTTATAAACAGAATGTGATAAGAAACCGTATCACAGAATCAGGACGAGACAAACGAATCTGCAAGGGAATTAAAGCAAGGGAGGCTTATATCTCAGGAGTGGAGTATAAGATTTCAAAATAGTATTCGTTTGTTTGAGAATAGTCTATGGAAGACAGTAATAATGTGTTAATGATGTCTAGGAACAACTATAAGGTTTGCGATCGAACAAGATTTATTACGTAGGAAAATTGTAAATCGCGTATGCAACAATTTGACAGCGCTCGACAATGACGTTCCTAACATCGTGTCGTCACTCTTTTCTTCGTTCGACGTTATTTCCGAGTATTTTTCAGCACATTCTATATCGAATAGAAGCTTTTAACCGGCTATAATTGGCCAGCCAAAAACAATAAATCGTTAGTTCGGGTTTCGCGTAACCAGCATTGAAAAACGTAAATATCAGCGATCAGGAGCATCTTCTTACCGCTCTCGTTCCGATTTGTTCGATCGATCTGAAAAAATTCCAACAATTTTCTGGAACGCGAACACGTCATATTGACTTTTCCTTAGAAAACATTCCAAGTCAGCGAGTTCCACTTTGGGGTTTATTGAACGATGTCTTCTTACAATTTTAGGCGTCTAATTCTCGGACAATATAGAATTACAAATTTTACCCTTTGTTATTTTATAGAATCTAATTTTTGTATCGACCTTCGTATCTCGTTTCGATTGTCATTTTCTCGGAATTCATCTTAACGTATTCTATATTTTGCAATGGCCGAGGAGCGGGGCGACCAATGGATAAGTGTTGATGATGATAATTTAAGAAAGCGTCAAGCTTGCAGTCGACACGTATCGAAAACACAATTCTGAATCGTGACGACCACGAAATGGGTCACTAGATTCAGCAGTACTCAAGAATAGTTAAAACTGTCTAACAAAATTTAATTATCGGTTGAATTTCTAATAAAACTCTATTAATTATACGATTTCGTATTTAGCCGGACTACGTTTAAATTGTAATTCTAAAATAAAGATCGGATCAGTTACGTTTAGGAATTATAACTTCTGTAACCAAAATAACAATTATTTTCTTGACTGAACTGGACTTACTCCCGATACGTATGTATAATGCAACATTGCCATTAATTTTTCTTCATCAACCTTATCATTAGATACTCATTATAAAAACGTAAGATGAAACATATAGCCTCGCTTTCTCTTGGAGCTTTTTAGCATGTTACAGAAAATTCTATCCATAGCAGGGCCATCGATGCTCAACATCGTAATCTGAAATATGTTCGATAGCGTTTAGATCGTTAATATATTGCACACTGAATCTTCATCGATATGTCGTGCAGTTTTATTTCTCTTCCGTGTTCAGAATGACTACATAAAATGGAAATGTCGTATGGTAACGTATAGAAAAGCACACTGCATACGTATATGTTTTCATAACAGTTATAAAATTATATTGCCGATTAATTCGTTGGGTCCCAGAGCCTGCAGGATTGTCGATATTTACTGTTGAGATTTCTCATTTGTTCGATGTGTCTTTCAAGAGGTTGTACGTCGAATACGACATCTTCATGATCTGCAACCGTTGCAATCGTTACGAATAAATTCACCTATTCGATCTCGTTTCTTTCAAGAATTATTTAAATAATATATTTTTTTTTTTGCGTTACTAACAGCCATAAAGGAATCCGTTGACAAAGTGACAACGTGGCCACTCGACATTACAGTGGGCTTGCTGGATCTCGCCATGATAATTAACAAGTCCTTCATTACCCTAATAGGGAGCGATGTCCAGTCCATTTCGTAAATAGCGTTGCCCACGCTTTTACTCTGCAAGCAAAATTCGTGCAATAAACGTTGAATCAAAGTGTTCGGTGCAACACGGGTTGATTGGAAACATTCTTGTTATTTGAAAACATTAGAAAATTATACTTTCTCTATTTTCGTTTCCATTCAATTCGTTCGTTTTATTTATCTGCTCGAAGAGGACCGTCTGAATTTTTGTTTGCCTTGTTATTTGTATTTAATTTAGTGCACTGAACGAAACACGGTGATTCAAGGAGACGAAATTCGGTGCCAACCTGTAACGCCACCTCGTTTCCATACCAACAGTATAAATGCACTTGCATCATCATAGAGCACAAGTAGGAGAAGCTCGAAACGAAGTTTATGTCGAACGAGGGCTCGGTTGACATCGTGTAAATACTTAGACAGACCACCATCACGCTTATACAGAATTGAATGAAAATCATGTATTGAAAAATAGTGTTGACGATCGTTGCGAATCTGTAATCAATTCGTAACATTATCGACACATTTATAAACGTTTCGACGGTTAAGGTTCTTTCATTTCCGTGAACTTTGATTTACTCTCTTTATAAGTCACCGGACATTTACAAGGGGCACGAGTTTCATGAATTTTGGTAGTTGAGAAATATTTGTAGGTTGAAATTTACTATCAAAGTTTTGGACGATACCATCTTCTTAGTAGAAGAGATATCTATAACCGAATATTTCTGAGAACTTCGCGTAAAGAAAGAAACAGAAATCTCATTTAATGTAAGTATTAAAAAATGGCTGATTCGTTCGCCCAGGCAATTAAATGAATTTAAATGAAAATTATCTCTATGTTTATATTTGCAAGAAACTTAAGTTCAAGGTTTTGAAAGTTCACTTTAAAAGTAGAAATTGTCTAAAATTTCGAGGCTATCGAAACTTTTCGAGTAAAATGTGGAAAAGGGACAGGCGGATCAACAATGTAGATTGCAAGAACTGATCGTTTCGAGGTCCTCGCGTGGACTAAACGGAGCGATTTAAAAATAATCTCGATGATCTGGCGTAGAACGGTGGAGCATTTCTTACAGTGTCGATTTCAACGGCCTTGAAGTATGTTAAGCAGGAGAATGTCACTGTGTATTTTCGAGTAAAAAATATTTCTCGCCCGGTTCCTATTCCTCGAGACATAAATATTAGAAACTTGCAGTGCACATTTACGCAATCACTGGTTGCGACTTACGCGAACATTGGGTCACATATTGCGAGGGACGTTTTAAAATTATGACAAGCGATCTTTTTAAGGAACGCAATTGATAAAATAGTTTTTAAGAAAATATCTCGCTCGAAGAAATAGTAGCGATTTATATACTTGTGGTACCAGTACCAGAATTTATTATTAAATTACATAAATATATCTAGTAAATGAAAATATAAATAGTGCTCGTAAAGGAAATGTTGAAAAATGTGCAAGTCGAGTCTATCAGTGAAACAAAATTTTTTGTTTCACCCTTCGAAGAAAACAAAGTGTGTCTTTTCTCTTGGAATATCTTTACACGGAAGTTAAATCCTTTTTTAAATTTACAATTCTCACAGATAAATTTTAGTACTTTGTGAATTAAAAAGACCACTACTTCAAGACCAGATTCACTTCAAAGATTGTAGAAAATATTCAGCAACAGGTGAATGCAAAATGGCGCCTGTCTAGGTACCAAAATAAGACGAAAGTCAAGAACGACGAAGTAGCATTGATGCTTTCTCTCGCGTCTGACGCGCGATGGACTTATACTACTGCCAGCGCACAGTTTTTTAAAATGGCATTCTGACCACGAAGAAGTCGTAACTTTGATCGATTTTCGTCAAAAATTATTTATGCACAGAAGTGCTTGAACCTCACGATCCATAAAATATGTAAATATAACAAAGAATAAGACATTTTCTAAACTGCAAGTGTCCGGTGTTTTATAGACGGCATCGTATATAATACAAATAAATATTTTCCAGTTGCGAACGAGAACTATTTAACGACGATGGCGTCAAAGAAAATTTAATTTCGTTTACTCGTAAACCTCCAGATGATTTTTTACCAGATCCCCGAGAATATTTATTCTTTTTCTCTTGAAGTCCTCCGTCGATGTGCAAGCCTCTTTCGCCTCCGTGATCAAAGCAGGTAATTTTCGTGCCCTGTGGCAGAATATTTCAAATTGTGCTTTAACTTGGATCATCAAGCCGGAGATCAGCGTCTCGTTGGCCACGCTGGAGTTCGCGCAGACTAGCACACCGAACGATTGAAACAACAAAGAAAATAAGTACAGTTTCGTCGATTCCAGACTAAAAGGCATCCATTCGTACATGGGCAATGTCCTCGTGCTTATGAGTACGTTGAATTGAGCCACGGATGCGAACATCGCGGTCGTTTCGTTCAAGATCTCGCAGCATATCGTCAGATTTCTGCAAAAATAAAAATCTGTCCAGTAATGGTTAATTATACTGTTCGAAGTAAGCAAAAATAGAAAATTAAGACGAGCTTTCTAATATATTCCAGACGAGAGCTTCAAAACTTTGATGTGGAAATAGAATTTTCTCAAAACTTTTAGTCGATTAAAGAAAATTCCAATACGTTGAATACACTTTTACTTATATTAAAGAAACTCATTGAAGAAGAGAAAATGGCGTTCAAAATAACTTAAAATATACTTTATTCAAAGGATTTTTTGTTGCAGGCAAAAATAATCCAGGTACAAATTATGGTGCTTTTTGAGCGTGCATAATTCGAAAACATGGTAGAAAAGAATGTTTTTAAGGACTACCTTGCGTATAAGTCGAACTTCCGCTGAATGATCACCTCGTTCTCATCCTTTGGTAAACAGTTTCCCTGCACCAGAGTATTCACCATGTTTATGATTTTGTCACGCTGATAAAACACATTCGCAACCTTGACGCATACACCTGCCGCCGAGATGAATATAGAGAATTTATGGACCGCGGTCTTCATGTCCGCGAACTGCAAGCAGTCTATCATGAAGAATAACGTGAACGAGTATAAGAACAATATCATGAGAGCCGAGTAAGCGTTATACAACCAGTATTTGATAGAATGCACTGGCCATTTTGTCGGTCTCCAAAAGCCAACGTAAGTCAGCAGGGCAAACGACAAAGAAAGCTTTTGCATTCTATTTTTCCACCCACGTCGTCGATCACTGTGCACCACGTAACGTGTCTTTTATACCACCTTGGAAATCGACGGTACTATTGCACTTTTAAGCAACTAGTTGAGTATCGTTGACAAAATTTTGCCCCTCTGCTTAGAAGAAATATCAATCGCGACGTCGAACGAAATAAAAATTTACTGGTCTCTGCAGAGTTTCGATCTCAACCACATTGTTTATTAAAACAATCTTTTCTTCGTAACGTTTCCTGGTACACCCTTCTCGAGTTCCCTCGGTAATGGTAATTTTAATTATGCCGCGGTTACTTCCGTCCGAGGACTAATTGTATGTGCATTATCTCGGAAGTTTAATAACCGCTGACTATCGACTCTACGTAACTGAAAATTCGATCGATTGGATAAGTACGGTTCCATTAAGCGGAAATAGGTTGTATTTATGGGGGAGCAGGTAAATGACGTATCGACGACTATCGACGTTGAACCCCTCTGAACAATAAACTCGGAAACGCAATGTTATTTCAGTTCGCCGCTGACCGTGGTGGAAGACGGAAGGTTGCCGGACTTGCTCGACGAACGTTTTCGTTTGGGGCTGTGACAGTGGTTCTATTGGTACGTACATACATTTGTTTTCTTTATTAGACTTCAAACAAAACACATAACGTAACATAACATAAAAAAACTTTGTTTATGCCTTTCAATTTAAATATAAGAATGGTAAATGGAAAAAGGGCTTTTTATATAATTCATTTAAGAGGATCACGTTCGAGGAAAAATGACACGTTACATTTCACGCTGTTTTCATTCGACAACCAAAGTCGTTGAAATGAAAAGAAATGTTAAAAATGTGGTTTGAAATTGTTTATTATCGAGTAAGAAAAGTGTGATAGCAAGGGATGATGATTTCCTTAAGATCGGTTCTCTCTCTTTCTCTCGCAGGTCGCTAGTTTTTAGTATTTTGTAGCAAGTTATACATCGAATAGGAGCTTTTAATGAGCTACAATTAGACGGAAGCAAGATTAGTTTAGTCTTCGGGTAATTAGCGTTAGAAAACGTAAATTGTTCTGCGGTGAAATCGCGATTTAACAGTATCTCTATGAAACCAAGAATCTAGTGATGCTTATGAGCCACTGCAATTCTGTTATACTTATGGAAATATAGTACATGTCATTATTTAAAGCAAGGATAGTGAATTGGTGGCTCACTAATTGTGTACGATAAATTCCAAGTCCGTTAAATCGAGGTTTCACTGTACGTTACTAACGATTACGAAGAAGTCGATGTTCACGTTCACGACGTGTACACTTTCGTACTCTATGGGCGATCTCGTGCGATTCATCGTGATCAGCAGGATCTTCTTAGCGCCTTCGTTCAATCCTATCCAGTCCGTTTGAAAAATCGAGCTCGCCAGGTCGATACTCTGGAAAATCGTACAAAGTTCAACGATTTTTTGCACATTTCCGGGCGGGGGCGCGTTACTAACGCTTACCTTGAGCTTGACTTCGTTCCCGCACCAACAATAAAGGAAGCTCTGCACCATTATTGTGCTCAAGTAACACACCGTCGCTAAGAACTCGAAGCTGAAAAGGTCCTGTTTCAGTAACTGTGCCAGGCCCAGGCACAGTACCAGAAAACTTCCAAAAAATTGCGAGAAGATCGTCATGTTCAGCGCGTTGTTCGTCATCCTGGCTAATCTGCGATCGAAGTATCTCGAAAATGGGGTTTGTAAATATTACATATTAAACGTAACGGTTTTAGTATCGATTAAGGTCCATTTATACCGTCGAAGCACGCATTGATAGTGTTTTATCATTTATAGACAGCTATTATCACTCGTATTCGTACATTATAGTGATTCACTGTAAATGGAAGAAACAAGTTCACTGTTTTATACATTGAGGTATTTAACAGATTTATGTTTAAATAAATTAAGAATAAAACTTGTAAGCGGTCGTGCTACGTTGGATATGTCGTTTCTTCTTCGATCAATGAAGTTCAGCATCATTGAGCGGCGTACAAAGTAGGATGGGTTACCGCTTGGAAGAAAAAAACACGGTATTATTCGATTTCTCTTTACTATATTATTAATACTTCTCTATCAGGTTTATAATTGGGTATTACTTGCTTATTAATATTAAAAAATAAAAATAAAGCTACTTCGTAAATAGGGGAAGTAACACACACTGGCGTTAATAAACTTAATACTTGGTAAAAGTAACGGGGAAAGAATTTGTAAGAAATATAAGAGAAGTTTCTTTCCATTTATAGCGAATCCACAGAGTATCTAGTGAATTCTGCCTCCGTTATAAGATTCTTCTCGATAGTATAAATGAACGTGTTTACTTGTAAATGCTGTCGTGATGGCGAACGCAATTTTCCAGCGTCTTCTTTCCGTTCGTTTCTACGTTATTCAAGCGATATTCGAGGATGTTGAATTGACAAGAAGTTTGCGTCAGCAGTCCAAAAAACAGTGCGTCGGAAACGATATGCGCGTGCGATAGAAAGAATAAACTCAACATCTGTTGGGCGTATGTAAATTGAAAGAGAACCGTGGACGAGTAATTGTAAGGTATCCAGGCTTTATAGGTGAGCCTTTCGTTGTGGAATTCTGTTAGCAAGGAGGTAACCATAGTCGTGGCCACCGACGTCTGTATCATCATCATATATCTAATAGTATTATTCCTGCGGAGTTCAATGGTTAAAGTGTACACATTAATATACGTGTCTTGTAATAACTTTGGTGGTTACTACGAACGATGATGAAATTTTTTTTGGACGACAATAATTTCCATTCAAATTTCCAATACAAATGGTCGTTGTATTCGACTCGAATGCAAATCTTCGTCTCTTGAAGCGAGAAATTTTAAACAGTAATATTAATAATAGAGAGAGGATATTAATAATATAATTTCTCTCTATTATTAATATTAAAACTTCTCGCCTCAAGAGAAAGTCGAAGCTCTAACAATATCGCAGAAGCAATCGCCATTCACTTCTCTTTACTTAAAAAATTGATAAATGAATAATAATAAAAATAAAATTTGATTCGAATAAGCCGAAGAATAATATTTCTGTCTCGAAGAGGATTACATGATAAACTGTAGCATATATTTATAAGAATAACGATAAATAGTCACTGACCGTACTCGTTTGTCGTAATTCGTTTGAATTTCCGTTTCCTCGTCGTCAGTGGTGGCGCAAGGCTCGATCAGTAAAGCCTCGATCAGATCTATGACACCCTTCCGGCAAATGAGCATGTTTGCCATTTTGCAACAACCGACGAACGCTGTAACTAGTATATAAGTGTTCTCTACGAAATCGTCCACGTTGTCCACGGTTACCGCGGTGATAAATTGAGAAATCGTGAAGCTGACGGCGAGCCACAACACAAACAGAGAGTAAAAATTGTAGATCACCGTTTTGAATCGCGACGACCACGAAACCGGTCGCCAGACACCGCAGCACGCGAGAAGCGTGAATATTATCGAGAATCCCATGACTTTGATCAATCACTATTTCGTTCTACCATACCTCCGATCACTCGATTCTCGATTGTCCACCGAGTTTACGATTAGCGGCTATAAAATTTTGCTCGCGGGTAACCTTTGCTTTTAAATCACTTTGAAATTCCGATCATTCGGACGTTTACTCTTTGGTCACCGGCGCACGTTTGAGGAAAAACGCTAATGTTCATTAGCGATGCACCCCTTTTCCGACATGTTACATAACGTAATGTTGCCTTTCTCCACTCAGCGATTAATTTCACATCGCAAATGATACCTTTGGATCGTAGATCTCATCATTAGACGGTCATTTCCGATGTAAAAGTAAAGTAGGATGCGGTTGTGCTTCTTCTTCCGCTCGTGGACGCGTAGCATTTAATTTTCCGAGTCCTTTTAGCGAGTTATAAAAAATTCTGGTCAACGCGACCGCATTCGGTATGCCAGGTTGTAACTTTAAATGACTCTAAAGCTGTTTCGAACGTGAAACGTGTCGTGCACCATGCTTGTGATAAGTTGCATGCTTTTATTTGGGTGTTGTGCTTTAATCTTTAAAAATATCATTCACTGGCTTCCTTAAACATTTTAATTAATTCTTCGGATAGTAATTAGCATTTTGAAATTTACCAATTACAAAAACTACGCCCAGATCCTTCTGAAAGACACCTGTAAAATTTCGTTACTTTATATTCACTCGTTTACATTTGATGTCTGTTTTATTATTATCAATTTTAAATTATTTTAACTTTTCGTAGTCGCTGATCCGTCGTTCGCATACGTTTGGAAATTCAGTGTGTTCGATTTATGTGTGGATCGATGTCGAACCCCTCTAAAGAACAAACTCAGGAATGCAAGGACATTTTAGTTCGCCGCTGAACGCCGAGGAAGACAGAAGGGTGCACAGTGTCGTGGATTTGCTCGACGAACGTTTTGTTTCGAACCATAATTGTGGTTCCATTGGTACGTAAACAAATTCATTTTCTTCCACACGAAAGAATAAATTGAAAGTATGGAGTAAAATTTGTTCGTTTAAAGAGAACGAAATAATTACGAAATATTGTTTTATTAATATTTGACGTCGCAACGTCGGCAAAAGAAAATCCAAAATGAACCGTACAAAAATAAAACCAGCAAATATTTTATTCAATTGGACTAGTTTGCTCGTTCGTAAGTTGATTCTGACTTGATTAAACCTATCGTAGATCTCCATTTTGTTCTGCCTGTGGGATGGAACGTTTAAGGAACGATTTAAAACGACGCACGAATTTTATTTCATCGGCATAAATTTCATTGTATTTTAATAAGGTCTACATTGCGACTAAGCATCTCAGCACATTCGTTCCATTACTCCTGAAGCCATAATTCCCCAGCGAAGGCAGTTATCATTCCCGTTTTGCTCCGTTTTCTTTTTTCTCCTCATCGGCAGTGTACGTCAATTTTTCAGAAAATTTCATTTCCGTTTACTCGTTGAGAAGGTCTGTTTGTTTATTGAATTAATAGCTTATGATTTTTGTAATTGTTTCACCTTAAAACTATGTTATTTATGTATTTTGAACACAAAGTAACTATATATACTTAATTTTCACGTTAAACTCCGTCATCGACACTTGAAATTTATTTGTATTGATCCAGTGATCCAAACTTTTTTTCACACGTTTAAGGAATGTTTGCTATTTAAAAACAAGCTGCTGAAGATTTATTTTAAAAGTTGTAAACATTTTATAACTTTATTGTTTTAAAAATATATTTTTGAGCAGTTAACATTCATTATACGTGTAATTAAAAACTTTCGATATTTTTCACTCAACGCTACTGAAGAATAAGGATTAATTTGATCAATCAATGCAACAAACGACTAATGATTCATTTCATCGTGATAAATGTATGAGGGAATGTTACAAAGTAGGTGCGCGCGGGAGCGCGTATGCTGTGTGTGTGCGTGAGGCAGTGGACGATCGTCCTGTTCGTCCGCGACGAGTCAGTCGCTAAGGTGGAGTCAAAGAAAAAGCACGTGTAAAGTCCATCAGATTACCTATTTTATTCTCATTAAATATTGTTCCTCATTTAAGTGGTTAGATTACCGTCTTTTCGTCACCCCTCTCTACCACATCCTACATGTATGCCTTGCTTTAACGAAAATTATTGCTTACCGTAAAAGATATTATTCGTTTCGAATATTGTATTTTACGTCCAGCGTGAGTTTCGTGAGGCCTTAATGACATCTTTTTTTCGCAATTTTCTTTGGGGAAAAATCTTCTAACTACGGCGGGAAATAACTCGTGTTTGATATTATCGATCTAATATCTTTGTTAATATTAAATTTATTGAACCAGGTTATATATCGAGTAAGAAGTCTTAAGCAGCTACAATAAATAAATATTCAATGAAAAAATATTGAAACATTTTGAGGCAAGTTGTTTAGCATGTCAATGGGATTTCATTATTCTATAAACTTTAGATTATTGGAAGAATTAGTCTCTTAACACGTTTCCATTTCCAGCAAAATTTATTCTCGAGCATCCAATTAAAATTTTAGATTAATTCACAAAAATTCCCAATTTATTAAAAAATTCTTTTCTACGAATACGTAAGTTTTGAAAAACGATATAGCATTTATTTAAATCTATTTTCTGTGATTACAGAGTCGGGTAACACGGATAAGAGGCGTTGTTTTTCTATCGAAGTAAGACTGGGGTTCGTTTAGAGAGTTAATTGATGTTGTACTGACCACTTTGAATGCTTCGAGATTGACGGACACGATGTAAAGGCTGGTGAATTCGATGGGCGACAATGATCGTTTCATAATCATTAACAGAATCTTCTGAGTCTTGGTCTTTAAAGTCGTCCAGTCGCTCTCGAATATCATGTTGGGAACTTCAAGGCTCTGTAAAAAAATACCTCGTCTATCTATGATACGTTGCTTAAACGAAAGATTAAGTCTATTAGTGTAGAAATGAACCTTCAGTTTCACTTCGTTCCCATACCAACAGTAGTAATATATCTGCAAAAGCGTACACGACGCATAGATCAATATTTCTATAGCCTTCGAGTTCATTTTGTTTTGCGTCAATTGATAAAGATCGAAGCATATGGTCAACGTGCTCATGGCAAATTGAACCAACATGATTGTTTTAAATTTGTCGTTTACCATCGTAGCGAATCTGCAACGAGACAACAAATTGTTTCGCGTCAAATACTTGAAAACAATGCAAATGTACCAATACAATTGGTTAAAAATGATTAAATTCTCGATAAAACAAAGTTCTACAAAAAAGATTCCTCGAACATAAATAAAAAAATATACATAAATGTATCTAGTTTCTAAAAATAACGTTGTGGCGCTGCTTCGCTGCGGGTAGGGGATCTCGTGAGAATTCGTAGGAGGACAGAAAAGGAAAGGAGGGGGCGCGTTTCGTCCGGGCCTGCCAGTGGACTCATCAGTAAGGCTTTCTAGCAGGCCCTGCCTTAGACGACTGGGATATTGGGAAGTCGTTCGAGGAGTGTATATATAGCAACGGAGGGGTCGGTCGAGCGCTTGTGAGAGCGCGACCCCTCTGGTGGCGAGCATGGGAGGCGACGCCACAACGTCTTTGTTACGTTTTCGTATCGAATCGATATTTCTTATTTTTATAAATTTCTGTAAAATTTATTTCATGGTGCAAAAGATAAGACTTAAATCAAAATATGATTCGTATCTTTTCATACGAGCAAATGTACGTGAGAAATTTAAAGACTTCGAGACTCTTTTCTATTTCAAGTTTTTTGGAACGAGAAAAGAGTCGGGAAAGAACCGAGACGCTGTACGAAACTTGGGAGACCAACTTGTATATATGATTGTGATGGCGGGCGCACTGTTTCACCAAATCGTTCTCGTTCTTTCGAATATTGTGCAGACGGTATCCGAGTATTTCGAACTGACAGTAAATTTGAACCAACAGGCAGCTGAACAAACTGTCGCACGCGACGTTCGAGAGGCAGCAGAGCAGAGCACTCGTAGCTTGATGAAGGTAGACGAAGCTGAACTTCAGCACCGGTGAATAATCGAACGGGAACCAGGCGCGATACGGCAACTTCCTGTTTTCGAATTCGACGATTAGCGTCGTCAGGAATGTCCATACTATGCAGAATACCACTGCAGACGCGTAGGTCTTCGAGCTCTTTCTGCAAAAGTACTGTCGTTAAGCTCTGGACGATATATTATATAATTATTCAATTTTCATCTTGTTAGAAACAAGAATAAAAGCGTAGAATTCTAGGTGTCTCGTTTAAGTTGAGACTGTAAAAGATTCAAGGTTTACTCTACGGATCGTAATAAAATTAAAGAATTACTAACTTGTGGTAGAAGCTTTGTATCTGAGTTATCAATTAATATGATAAAGTCAAAGTTTGCTTTATATTTACACGCCACGCGTACGTATCAGAGAAATAGAAAAAAAACAAAAAGCTTGTTACGTTATAGTTACGAACAGTTCATGAAAATTGAGCCGTGAGACTTGAAAGATTACTTGCAAGGTTTGCAACAGTGGAAATTTACTAGGTGCGTACGAAACTTGAAATAAAAATATCTCGAGAAGGAAGTCGCAACTTACTCAGCTTCTTTGTCGAATTTCGTTCTTATTTCAATTTCTTCGACGTCCATCGGTAAAAATGGCTCCTTTTCGAGAATATCGACCAGCATCATAGTATTCCGTCGCGTAATTAATATACTGCACGTTTTGAAGCAGGTGATCATATACACGAGCGTCACGTAAATGTTGTCGCTGAAATCGTCCACGTTGTCCACGACGAAGATCAAGTCTATAATTTGACTGATCGTCGTGCTGTAAATGATGACGACCGTGAAGATCGTGTACAAGTCGTACGTAAACTTTTTCAACGGCGACGTCCAAGATGACGGCCTCGAATAACCGCATATCGCCAAAAGCGTGAATAACCAGCGTAGTATGTGCATCGTCAGATTTCACACCGAAACGCGTTTCTTCCTTTATTTGTTTGTCGCCAGTTATCCCTTTGATTCACATAGTAGTTAATCAGCTTGTTCTCCGAGCAACGACACCGACAGAAGCGTACGAAAGAATCTTGTCGCGTGCTCGACGAAGTTTCAAGTAAACTGACGATTACGGAGTATCGATGTTTCTTGAATTTTCTTGAACAAGTCGATTCACTTCCCTTCTGCACAACGCCCTGTATTATTACAGTAATTACCGACGACAAGACTTACTCGATTTCCTTTTAAATATTACGTTCCACAATTTTGTCTTACTTCCCTCTGCTCTGTTTCCCGTCGCGATAGAACGTTTTCAATAGAAGAGGAGACGATGCATATTTGAAAGATTTCGCTAAATGTTCACTTAGCATGAGCGCGATCGTGGACAGGAATTTTAATAATTAACGAAGTTAGGGGAAAGAGTGGAGCGAAACAGTTGCGTTCCACTTCGCTAATGGTATCGGTCGTAATTAGCGTTACGTACCGAACGTAAGACTCCTTTATTAAAATTTTGTCGCAAACTGAAGCTGGGAGACGTAAACACCAACCAGTACTGCTCTCGTGAACATCGATTGAACACGAAGTACGCTCGTGACGATTGAGTAAACTTAAATATGATAGTTTAGCACGAATTACTGTTATTTAATTGTATTAAATCGATTGCAGTGTTTTACGATTGTTTCTTTGAGTTTTTTGTAATTTATGCAGTGTTCCATTCGGTGTTTGTGTTCAGTACTGAATCGATTTTTCAAATAGCGAGGCGATACTGTTCGTACACTATTTTATACGAGATCTGTGCATTTATTAAGAAATTTTTTTATATATATTTCTAAAAGTGCTCGATACAAAATGATTTTTACTTAGAATTTCACCGTTTACGTATTTTTCATTAACACTGAAATTCTTCAACATTTTTCCGGCACTGTAAAAGTACATGAATCAGCTGCCCATTGAGCAAATTTTTATAAACAAGGTACGTAGGAAATATTTCTCTCACATCTGGTACCGCTACTTTTCATCAGCTCTTCCTTCGTTTTCCAATAGGTTTCCACGATCGCTGGTAGCCATCTTAGTTTTACGTGCAAAGACAGGAAATTTCATCTAAGTTGCGTTGTTTCCTATAAAACATATTGTAAATACGTTTACTGTAAATTACTTCGTACCTCTTTCTGGAGATTGAGAGAAAACCTTTCGACTACGAGGGAAGATAATACACGTTCGGCGTATTATCAGCGAGTTTGTTGCAGGAGGTTGCACGCCGAGTAAGAAGTCTTCAGCAACTGCAATAAACAGATACGATTTTTCTCTCTTTTGAGCTTACGATAAATTTTAAGAGTCTGTATTTTTTAAACAACTTAGAAAACAGCGAAACAACGACTACAACGTACTTCGATTCGAACGAAATCCCTGATTCAATTGATTAAAGAAGAATGAATTATTATTGTACCAACCGCTTTGAACGATTCGAGATTCACAGACACAACGTAGAAGCTGGTAAATTCGATTGGTATCGTTGCACGTCTCATACTCATCAACAGAATCTTCACAGTGTTATTATTTAAAGATGTCCAGTTGATTCCAAATATCATGTCGGTGACTTCGAGACTCTGTCGATGTGAAACTCGCGTAAAATCACGTTGCTGGAATTGCAAACGAAGAAACGTACCTTCAGTTTCACTTCGTTCCCGTACCAACAATAGTAATATATCTGCATCAGCGTGCACAATATGTAGAGAACAGTTTCCACGATCTCTGAGATGAACTTTTTCCGCGCCAATAGATACAGATTGAAACACATTACCGATATACTCATCAGAAACTGAACGAACACGATTGCCTTAAATTCTTCGTTAACCATCGCGGCGAATCTGCAACGATTTTGGAAAGGGATTATTATAATTTGCGTAATAGTCAACGCTCGTCTCGCAGAACCAGTGTCCCGGTGTGAATCATTTGTAATTGGTGCCACGTGCGACTAAATCTGTCATCTAAAACGTTCGTCGAACAAATTCTCGTACTCGCTACTTCTAATGTTTTGTTACTCTACGAAACTGTGAGACCAACTTGTATATTTGATCGTGATGACGATTACACTGTTTCACCAAGTCATTCTCGTTTTCTATAATATTTTTCAAACGGTGCCCGAGTATCTCGAACTGACAGTAAATGTGAATCAACAGACCGCTGAACAGACTGTCACACGCAACGTTCGAGAGACTTCCGATCACTGCACATAGAATTTGAAAACCCAAGGCAAAGTAAAACGTTATCGTCGTGGAATAGTCGATGGGAAGCCAGGCACGGAACAGTAGCTCCTTGCTAGTCGTAGATGCAACTAACGTCGCCAATACCGTCCACACTACGCATAATTCTAATACAAACGTGTAGAGTTTCGTATTCCATCTGTAAAAATACTATCGTCACGCTTTCGACCAAGATTTACACAATTATCTTTGCTCCTATCGAACACAGTTACATCGAACAGCGACTAGAGCCAAGAAAAGACCAGTAACGTCGACTACCAGACCACAAAACTTCGATTTCAGACGATTCTATACCACGTAACATCTACTCTATTTTAGTATCCCATTTAAATTTTATTTAAATTTATTTCCTCTAACATTTCAGAGCGTCGAAAAAGACTCGAAAATCTCGCTAATTGCTACTTAGAGTGCTGGCTGATAATTACTCTACTGCTTTGTCGAATCTCGTTCGAATTTCGATCTCCTGGCTGTCCGTTGACGCGAAAGGCGTTCTCTGAAGTGTATCGATCAAGATCGCGATATTCTTTCGCTTTAACGACAAGCTACACATTTTAAAACAGATGACGATCATCTCGAGCGTCACGTAGATGTTGTCGCTGAAATCGTCCGGATTGTCTACGTTGAAAGCCAAGTCGAGAAATTCGGTAATCACCATGGTTTGCAAGATCAGAATTAAGCAAATCGAGTAAAAATTGTACAAGAACTTTTTCAACGGCGTCTTCCAAGATGGCGGTCGCGAGCATCCGCACACTGTTAGTAGACCAAACGTCCAACTTAGCGTATCCATCGTCAAGCTTTCCTGAAACGTCCTCTATCCTTTTCGATCTATAAAGAAGTAAAGTATCGTATCTTCGTTTACCTTCGTATTCGTCGACCAGAAAGTTCTTCTTACCGAAGTAAACCCCGACTACAATGGCGCGTTTCGATTTCCACGCGACAGTTTTGTTCCCAGGCTGACTGTTTATTTATATAGCCGTTTATTATCTCGATGCTAGCTCGATTATGCGACGAGATTCTTCGCGAAAGTATTTTGTCATCGCGGCCGTCGATCTCGTCCGCTGGATGAAGTTTCAAGTAGCACTCGCGACTATAGAATATTGATATTCCTTGCGTTCCTTCGAAGAAGTCAGTTTTCTTCGATAGAATCCCTTTCCAGCTGTCTATGCTATTACAGTAATTGCACACTTCCCCGATTGTCCCGTTAATCTCCTTACAAATTCCGTTGCGAGACGTTATTACAATTCACTTCTCTCTGTCCGCGAGTTTATGTTTCGCAACAAAGGTGATCGCGTATAGCCAGCCAGGAATGCATTAGTGTATAAATTATGAACATGCAAATGTCCACCCTCTCTAATGTCAGCATTTTTATTTTACAAAAGGAGTCGCGGAAAATGAAAAGTCTGAGGGAAGTCACTTGTTTCTAAAACTGAAGTTCGAACAGTGTTTCGCAGAACTGAGCAAGGATATCGTCGCGATTATGGCTACGATGTTGCAGGTAATATTTAACAATAATAAACAATCGTACGTTAACCACATTTAAATTTTTTTTTCTCCCGAAATCTATAATAAACGATTTAATTCGTAAGATTCATTCTACGCAAAATTACATATTTTTTAGAACAAGAGTATGGTTTTCGATAAATTTTTACAACGAGCGATGAGTGTTTTGGTTTAAGAATCACTTTCGTTAACCTCTATTTTATAATTGTTTCCATCAAAACGATCAAGCACATATTTTTTTTTTTACGTCTAAAATTACGAAAAGATAATGTACAGGGAAGTTGTATGATTTTTTTTAACGATAAATAATATGGTATAATAACAAATTCTGCAAAGTTACAGATGGCTGTTATTGAGAAAGGTATGTTTTCCAATATTTCTTATATTTTTGTGTCCTTAATGATTTCATTTTCTTCTTTATTTCGCATACTTTAAGACTATGTACCACGAGAAGTTTGAGGGAAGGTCTTCGTCGTTCTACGAAAAATAATTCTCTGTCATTTTATTATCATTGAAGCACGTTATACGCCGAGTAGGCAGTCTTGAGCAACTGTAATAAATATATATTTGATCGTGAACAAATTTTGAAACGTGTCGTGCCACTACGCTACAACTACTAACTTTCTAGATATTAACCACTTCTTATTCGCATGGGTGTCAAACAAGAATATTTGCATTTACTTTTAATCATCGTTTTCAACGACTTCCTTCCATCTCTCAATCATCATTTTCATAAAAAGTTTCATAAAATAAAAAATATTTCATTTCATTCGTTTTTATTTTATATTGTAAATAATGGTATTAATCGGAATATACATAATATCTAATTTTTATATGATAAAAAAACATATTAGAATTTGTTCCAAAGACGGACGTGAGAATGTCTCAAACATGTAAAAATATTCGTTATAAAGTATTGTAAAAATCAATTGATATTATCGAAATTTTAGTAAGTTTATAGAGTTATTTAATTCTTATTTGGTTCTCCAAGAATTACGAAGCCACACACCACAAAGAAAATTTATTTCTTTTCGTACTAACCGCTTTAAATGTTTCGACATTCACGGTCACGAGATAGAGACTGGTAAATTCGATGGGTACCGTGGCGCGTCGCATGATCATTAATAGAGTCCTCTTAGTTTTGTTGTTCAGGTACGTCCAGTCGCTTTCAAACACCATACCAGAAACCTCGAGACTCTGTGCAAGGAAACCATACGTAAAGTCAAAGTGAAAACGCAGCCTGTTATCGTTTGAACGAACCTTCAGTTTCACTTCGTTCCCGTACCAACAATAGTAATATATCTGAATGAGAGTGACGGACGCATAGAGCAGTATGTCCACGCTTTCGGAGCCAAGTTCTTTTTGCGTCAAACGGTATAGATCGAAGCACACGGTCGACGTGCTCGTGAGAAACTGAACGAACACGATCAGCTTAAATTGTTCGTTCACCATCCTGGCGAATCTGCAACAAGCAAACGTTAAATTCGATTTTGAGAAACAGCGTGCTCATAAGCACTCGTCGGTCAAGTATTTGCAATTTTTAGTCGTGTATTTTACCATTGTAAAACCGAAATACCAACTTGTATATGTGTTTATGATGACGAGCGCACTGTTTCACCGAGTCGTCGTTGTCCCTTTCGATATGTCGCAGACGGTACCCGAGTATCTCGAATTGACCGTAAATGTGAATCAACAGACCGCTGAACAGACTGTCGCACGCGACGTTCGAGGCCGAGCAAATTAAGGAGCTTATAATTTGATGACCGAAGGCGATGCTGAAACCTAGCACCGAAGTGTAGTCGAAGGGCAACCAGGCGCGAAACACTAATTTCCGGTTTTCAAATTCCAAGATTAGCGTAACCAGGAACATCCATATTACGTAGCTCACTATCGCGTACGTGTACGTCATCGTGTTGTTCCTGCAAGAATACTATTGCTGAATTATTAACGGTATTTTCATACTCGAACTGCACATATCAGGCCTACAATTTTGGATAGGATTTTGCTTATTTGAGCAAGATTATAAATATAATAGTTTCAGGTTACGTATCTTATAAAATAAAAATTTTCATGCAGAATATTATACAGTTTTGATTTGGCAGTGAATATTAAAATGCATAAACAAGCTTATCTGAGGCTTTCTCAGTGAAAACTGTTCGGGAATTACGGAAATATATGAACAATATACAAGGTATTCGGTCAACTCAGGGAAGAATTCTAATGAGAGATTCTGGAGACCAAAATAAGACGGGAATCAAGAATACAATTTTTTAAATTCGAAATACAGAAATGTTCGTAACTTGAAAGTGGTGCAAACGATCTGCACAAACTTTTTAACTTTAATTAAAATTCACCATACTGATAATACTGCTGTTCGTTACTTAATATCTGGTATTAATAATGGACTCACTCGGACATACTGTCGTACTGCGTTCGAATTTCAAACTCCTCGGCGTCCATCGGTAAAAAAGGCTCCCGCTGTAGGGTGTCGATCAACGTTACAATATTCTTTTTAGTGATCAGCATGCTGCACATTTTTACGAAGGTGATGATCATCGCCAGCGTCACGTAAAAGTTGTCGCTGAAATCGTCCTGATTGTCGACGATGAAAACCAGATCCAGGATTTGAGTGATGACGAGGGTATGCATGGCCAGGAACACGAAGATCGTGTAAACGGTGTACAAGAACTTTTTGGTCGGCGACGTCCAGGAAGTGGGTCGCGAACAACCGCACATCGTCAGAAGCGTAACTATCCTCCTTAGTATACCCATTGTTAGTTTAACATAAATGCCCTCTATATTTATCGTGTTCGTGGAAATATTCTTTTTTTATCGACGACACACGCTAACGACCGTACTGCATATCGATTTTCACTCACGTTTAGTTTCCCAACGCTACTTAAATCACATAGCCACACGGCTCGTTGTAACTACGAAACGTTACCAATAAACGTGTTTCTTTACTCACAGCGATACGATAACTTTTCTAAGCGTATTCTTCGATACGATTACTGCGATTATTTTCTCGAAAAGGTTTAGACTGGACTGACGGTCACGGAGTATCGATATTCCTTACGCCCCCTTCGATCTGTACATTATTTCCCGAGAATTCCGTCCTAGCCCGCGACCTATATCATTATAATTACCGTTGATGGAACTTGTCCATTTGTCATTTAACGAAGTTCTATATTATTATCCCCTCGAGCAGTCTCTCATTGCGAATTCAACGAGAAACGACATTTTGCGAAGTAAACGAACCAAACGAAGGGAAGCTCCTCGGTGCATCGTTCATTCTAAACACTCGTTCGAAATCGTTGTCAAGAATTTTATTTAGTGAATGAGTTAACAGACACAGTGAAAGACATTGTAACAGAGTGAAACGTTAACAGTTGTTTGTAAAATGTATTCGTTGGATCTTGGTCGTTTGGTCTGACCCTTACGTTTACGATAAAATTCACGCAAAATTAAGGTATACTCTTTTACTCTTTTCACCCCTTAACGCTCATATTTCTCGGATTTACCGAGAATGATCAGTTTTCTTTATTGGATTTGTTATCGTAGCGTATAACTTGAAGAAAAACAAATATTGTCGTCCCTTAAACCATCAAATTAAACAAATATCGTTTCTCAAAGCAGTCAGACTCGGGCATGAGTGTTAAGGGGTTAAAGATCAGAAAGAAGAAAGGATAAAGGGGGACTTGCAAGTATAGCAAGCACAGTTATGGGACGTTGTCAGTGACTATTTTTCCATTCCCCTTTCTTCGTTCATCGAGAAGAAATTTAAAGGGGTCGATAAATTTTTTTTTTTTTCAAAATAATACGCACCTCTTCTAACTTCTTTGTTGGAGCATGCTAAACGCAGAGTAAGAAGTTTTTAATATCTGCAACAAATATATATTTGTACCTATTTTTCGTACTCTGAGATGGGAAAACAGTCTATAAACTTATTATCGGGCCAATTATTTTCTTCGATTTTTATTTAAAAATTACGTTAGTATCGTATTCTTACACTGCGATGAAAATTCGCTATAAATTTAAAAAAAATTGTTTCTTACGAATTTGTTGTTTTTCTCATCACGTTGGAAACACTGGTTCGTTTTGTTAATATTATTGCATATTGTTTATATTATACCTTTCTATCGGTTTTATTTAACAAAATTATTTCGTAAATAGGAATAATAACACAGTGTAATAAACGATATTTGGTGAAGATAGTATGCATCTTTCTTGGAATCTTTTTTGGAAAGAATTCATAAGAAACAAAGTTTCTTTCAATTTAATGTAAAATATAGTGTAAAAATACGAGTGGGAGTGACTGGGTATATCCATAAATTATACTAACGCACTTTCAACGAAAGTAAGAATAGAATAGAGTAACTTGTAAACAGATTCAAATGAATACAGAAATAAGAAAAGTAAAGTCTCTAAAAAAATAAGGAAAAGTTAAGAGAATATAATATATTTCGTACTACTTTGAAAGAGTTGAGATCCACTGGTACAAGATGCACGCTGGAAAATTCAATGGGCACCAGTGCTCGTTTCATAATCATTAGGAAAATCTTCCTGGCGTTGTTGTCCAGAGATACCCAATTGCTGTCGATTATCATGTCGGGAATTTCGAGGCTCTGTCAAGAAGACTGCTGTATAAAGTTACTGCTATTTAATTTATAAACTCTTAAACGTATCGATTTGACACGTGACCCGTACGCGGGTGACATATTTTATTAGATAAAACAATTAATTCTCAAATCGAAATGTTACAGAAAATAAGGGTTCGATTCACGAATTTTGATTACTAAAATAATTACTAAGGCAAATTTTACTTTATCAAATTTTCATATTGAAACAAAAATGTTGATTTCGTTAACACTAGATTTACGGAAGCCATTATTACGGAATTCCATATTTAAAATTGCAGAACGCGTAAATATTATTTTTTAACAACTTGTGTTGAATTTGATCGATGCAATGGCATGGATACATATTCTAATTAAAATTAAAATCGTATTGTAAGATAATCGTCAACATGAAAGGTATCGATAAATATACGTGCGATCAATGCCCGTAAATCTAGTGTTAAAGTAGGAACGTAAGTATTTTGTACCTTCACTCTGACTTCGTTCCCGTACCAACAGTAGTACAATATTTGCATAAGCGTACATATTGCATAAAGTATCATTTCCATTAATTTTGTGCGCTGTTCGGTTTGCAAGAACCGATAAAGGTCGAAGCATAATATCGACATGCTCACCAGAAACTGAAGCAGTACTATCGTTTCAAATTCTTTGTTCACCATCGTGGCGAATCTGCAATGATATCAAAAGACATTATTTATTATAATATTCTTTATTTGTATTTATATTGCTAGAGTCAGGTGGTAAGGTGATATTGCTGTCCAGATTATCATTCTTTCTGATTTTTCTTTTTTAAATGGCAGACAGGCTATTTTGCATCAAGATTCTTCAGATAGTATAATATATACCTTTAATGGCTACTTTTTTAATGGCCTTTGTAAAATATACTCTATTGGTTTTCATAATTGCAACCAATACGCTAAATCTGATACAGACGGGGAGGAAATTATGTAAAGGAAACTTTATATTCTGAGTTTATATATTTTCAAAGTGACAGAAAGAAAACTCGATTTTTTCTAAACTCTAGACCGCAATACCTCCTTAATTTCGCTCAAGAATAACACTGTTTTATCATTCTACTCTTTTTAAAAATGAAAAAATATCTCATATAAGTGAAATTATTAATTTATTCTAATAAATTATTTATATTTATATTTATATTAGTAAATTATTAATTTATTCTTTGCAAAAAATTTGTGACCTGTATTAAGGTAAAACGAGTAGATCGATCCTTAAGAAAAGAAGTTGTCGATTATACATATATTTAAGTACGACGTGTTTAAAAAAACTAAATTTTTGCTTTCACAGAAAATGGACCAACTTGTATATATGGTCATGATGATGGGCACAGTGTTTCGCCGAGAGGTTCTCGTTTTCTAGGATGTGCTTGAAACGATGACGGAGTATCTCGAATTGGCAGTACGTGTGGATCAGCAGGCCGCTGAACAAACTGTCGCAGGCTATATTCAAAACCGCGCAGATCGCTATACTGATTGTCTGATGCGTGTAAGTAATAGTAAACAAAAAGGAAGAAGAATAGTTGTAGGGTACCCAGGCACGATACGGTAATCTATGTCTTTTGTAATCTGTGAAAAACGACGTCGCGATCATCCATGTTACGCAGGACTCGAGCAATATCGTGTAGACGATCGTGTTCCATCTGTAAAAATACTATCATCAAACTTCAAATTATATTTCGATTCAGATCCTCGACAAGGTTACCGCAATCCTGGCAAAACTGAGTACTAAAAAAATGTGCAACGATCGTTGCTACGATCACTGCAATCGATGATAAATGTAAATACAGACTAGACCGCGGAACTTTATGGAAATTCATATTTTTGTTAACACTTTGACTGCCATGTTGGTCACATATGACTGGCCATGATTTCTCCCGTGACGCCATGATGGTCATCACAGTGACCAGAGCGCTTGAACTACTTACAATTGTAAGAGCTGAATGAAAATTGATACACAGTGCATTTTGAATATCGCTAATTAGAAGATACTTTGAAACAACAAGTGCCCCATTGAGCAATTAAAAATGATCATTAGAAAATCGAAAATAAAAGATTAATTTCTATGAAATCTTGCATCTGGCACATCCGTGGCGTTCTGAGCAAAACATGTGATTCCGACATGGCAGTCAAAGGGTTCCTTCTACACCTAAATTAAATAATTTCCCATAAATGCATAAACATCCGCAGTCTAACGCAGACTCACTCCGCCCATTTCTCGAATCTCGCCAGGATCTCGAACTCGTCGGTGTTCGTTGGCGAGAATGGTTCCTTTTGAAGGGTCTGGACCATCGTTGCGTAATTATCGCGATGCAGCAACAGGGTGCACAGCTTGCAACAAGATATAAAGACCCCGAGCGTCAGGTAGAAATTTTCGCTAAAGTCGTCTTGATTGTCGACGTTGAACGCTATGTCTAATATTTGGGATATCACGAGGCTGTGCACCATGATCAACACGAACGACGTGTAGACGGTGTACAGACACTTTTTGATCGGCGAGGTCCAAGAGGGTGGTCGCGAACAACCGCACAGAGCGAGAATTGTAAATATAGATCGCAACAAACGCATCGTAAATAAATTTTATCTCGTCAAATGGTTCCGCCGTTACTACAAGGCCTCTGTTCAGTTTTCACACACTGATCACATCGCTCGATCGAACATCGAAAACTTATCTTCGCGGTTCTGGTTGCTCGTCGAACGGAAGTTCGGACATCACTGTAGACTATAGAATATCCTTAAGTTTTCTATAGGTCTCCTTAAGTTTCCCTCGAGATTCGTATAATATATTATTAACACAATGGCGGAGCATCCGACGACGCGTTTTCACTTATTTATATTTAACAAGGGTAAAGACGTGGGCTCTTCTTGTGCCTAATGTCGCGTGTTGCACGCTGTTCTCCGTCGATACATTATGCAGGCTCGCGTTTCGTCTTATGAATAAATAGAAAAACTAGACGACAAGTACCGTAAAATATTCCATAAATTATCGACGGGGAAAAGAGAAGTAAATATTTGAAGGATTTCAAAACGCGTGTTTTACGGCTACGTAGAATTTCATTTCTTTCGACGGGGAGTGAGGAGTGTCACCGCCGAGGCAACATGTTCTTCGTCGCGACACCGTTCACAGGTTTTCATAGAATTGATCGATATTCCTCTCTAATATGTATCTTTACGTATTTCGATAAGATATATACAGCTTTTTGGTAACACGCTGAAGATCTTGCTATGGCTGTTTCTGTTGAAGCAAGTTGTACGCCGAGTAAGAAGTCTTGAGTAACTGTAACGAAGACACGTGAAAGAGAAATTTTGTTACTAAGAAAGTACATTTGTTTTATACTGACTGCCATGAAAGACTCGAGTGTTAACACCACGAGATAAATACTGTTGAATTCGACGGGCTTTTCCGCGCGTTTCATGATCATCAGGAGGATCTTTTTGTCGTCGTTGTCCAAAGACGTCCAGTTGCACTCCATCACCATGTTGGTAACTTCGAGACTCTGTGGAAAGATAATTTTGGTTACGTTTGGGGCGTTTCGATTGTGTCTTTTTATCTCATCAAGGAACCTTCAGTTTCACTTCGTTCCCGTACCAACAGTAGTACAGAATCTGCATAAGAGCACAGCTCGTGTAGACCACCGACACGATATATCTCGTATCCATCTCTCGTTGCGTCAGTTGATAGAGCTCGATGCACATGATCGACGTGCTCACCAGAAATTGAATGAATATTATCGTTTTAAACTCTCTGTTCACCGTCGAGGCGAATCTGCAATCGTCAGAAAAAATTCCAAGTTAAACTTGTCTCTGCAAAGAGATCGATCGAAATCATATTCATCATAATCGTGTTTATCAGTTTGCAGGCAACGTGACTTTTTAACAAATAAATATCTCTATGATAGTATTTTAAAAAAATATATAACTCGTTTGACATGTTGGCTGTCAAACCAAACCCCTCGAATTTTGTTTTTAGATAATTTGAATTTATTTAGTCTCATCTAGATTTATTTCCTTTAATATCAAATTTTGAGAATTAATTTTTTTAGGTACTCGATGAAAAATCATGTCATCCATACATTACTTTTTAACAAATAAATATTTCTGTGATAAAAAAATTAAAAAAAATATAACTCGTTTGACGTGTTGGCTGTCAGACCAAACCCCTTGAATTGTCCTCGAAAAAGAAATTTTATTTTTAGATAATTGGAAACCAGCACATCCACGATTTCCCATAGAATTTACTTTGTTAGTCTTATCTAGATTTATTTCTTTTAACATCTAATTTTGAGAATTAATTGTTTTAGGTCCTCAGTGAGAAATCATGCCACTTATACGTGGGAATGAAAGGTACGTTTAAATTTTTCATTCCTCCTTTGTAAATTGCTAATTTACTCACTTGTAAATGCAATTGTGATGTCGAGCGCACTGTTTCGCCGACTCTATTCCTTCTTTCATGACGTTTTCCAGGCGATTCTGGAGTATCACGAACTGACAGTAAACGTGAATCAACAGGCCGCCGAACAGACAATCGACAGCAATGTTGTAAAACGAGCCAACTGTTATGCTCGTCATTTGATAAACGTAAGTAATAACGAACATATGAAACGAAGAGTAATTGTAGGGTATCCATCCCCGATACGCTAGTCTTCCTGCTCTAAAGTCGGCGAAGATCGGCGTCGCGACCATGCACGTTAATAAGCCTGCCAACGAAAGCGTGTAGGCTATCGCGTTCTTTCTGCAAAAACGTTACGATCTAATTTTGAAAAGTATTTACTTCAGTGTTTTTCTATCCAGAGTCCGTGGATTAAAATCTAAATTAAAATTAAGATGGATGCTAATTCTTATAGAAAGTTGCACTTTCGTTAGTGAGTTTTGAATTACAATTTGAATTGTGAATTTTAGTTACAATTATTTTAGTTAATTTCCTATTCGTATTCCTATACTGTGTAATGATGATTCACTATACATGGAAAGAAGCTTATATATTTTTTTTTTTATTTTGCTTCTATTTATGAAGCAATTTTACTTGTTATTACTGTAAATGAAAAGAAGCTTGTTTCTTATGAAATTCTTTTCATTTATTTTTACCAAATATTTTTCATTATACTGTGTTACTTCTATTTACGAAGTAGTTTTTTTTTTGTTTTAATATTAACGAGCAAGTAGTACCCAATTACAAAACTGATACAGAGGTATATACAGGGTGTTCGGCCACCTCTAGCAAAAATTTTAATGAGCGATAGTAGAGGCCAAAATAAAACGAAAATCAAGAATACTAATTTGTTGATGGAAGCTTCGTTAAAAAGTTATTAACAATTAAATTCAAAAATTTCAAATCGTTCTGGAAAAATTATTTTCGGTTACGGGGGTCAACTACAATCATTTTTGGTGAGTACACATACCTCCGAAATCCTATCTACTTTCGAGAAAAAAAATCGAGTATGTGCTGAAATTTTTCGGCGAAAAAAAATTTTTCAAATCGTTTTAAAAAAATTATTTTCGGTTGCGGGGATCAATTACAATCATTTTTTATCATTACACATACCTCCGAAATCGTACGCACTTTCGAGAAAAAAATTCCTTACTGAAAATCCAATTAGGTGCTTAAATTTTTCAACGGAGAAAAAAAATTGCAAATCGTTGTGGAAAAATTATTTTCGGTTGCGGGGGTCAATTACAATCAGTTTTTGTCATTAGACATACCCACGAAATCCTGCCCACTTTCGAGAAATAAAATAGAGAAGGTGTGAAATTATTCGAGAAAATTAAAAAATTGCAAATCGTTGTGGAAAAATTATTTTCGGTTGTAGGGTTCAATTACAGTCATTTTTGGTGAATAGACATACCCCCGAAATCTTGCGCATTTTCGAGAAAAAAATTCAGTAAGAGCGGCACTTTAAACGTTAATAACTTTTTAACGAAGCTTCCACCAACAAATTAGTATTCTTGATTTTTGTCTTATTTTGGCCTCTACTATCGCTCATTAAAATTTTTGCTAGAGGTGGCCGAACACCCTGTATAATAATATAATTCTTATATGTATATTAAAGAGGATCCAAATTAGTTATCGAAACGTTTATATCAAACAAATATGGCTTGTTCAAACTATATTTACCATGATATTTTAAATTGAATATGAAAAAATATTAGTTTATTTGCTCTGACCTATCAGAATCACAGTTAATTTTTAAGTGAAAGAATCACTTGATTCAAAGTTAGGAACACTTAAAGTGAACAATGTTCGAGCTCCTTGTTCTATGCACTTTTCATTTTCATAGCTTCACATTCTATTTTTGTAATGTAAAAAATGATGTCTCGCAAATACTGACAAGTATTATATTTTCAAAGTTTCTGCATTTTAGTGAAGTTTCAGAATACTTCCCCTCACCCAAAGAAACTAAAATAATTCCTATTAATACCGTCATTGTTGACAATTTAAACACTCACTTCGCGAGGTTGTCGAATTTCGTCCGGATCTCGACTTCGTCGTGGTTCATCGGCGACAAGGGTTCCTCCTCGAGCATGTCGACCAAAATAGCATAGTTCGCTCGATTCAGTATCAGGCTGCGCATTTTCCAGCATGATATAAAAATTTCCAGCGTCAGGTACGCGTTATCGCTGAAATCGTCCTGATTGTCGACGATCAGGATCAGGTCCATGATCAAAGACACTAGGAAGCTGTGCAATATTAAGAACAGAACGACCGTGTACGCGTTGTAGAAACACCTTTTGTACCAGGAAGTCCAAGAGATCGGTCGTGCACAACCACACGCCCCGATGAACGCAAATATGTATTGCAGTATCTGCATCGTCGACTCGACAGAGATTCTTCTTATTTCTTCGCGTTCATCAGAAAATATCGTTACTTATTACGTGTTCAACATTCGTTTTATTGCAGACCTGAACGTTGTTGCTTCGTTGCGTGTGTAGAAACCGAGAAAGTGCATTAACATTCACGGAAAACACAAACGCAAAGCACTCTTTGATTTCATGGTCTGGGGCACATCGTCGATCAGCGGTTTATTTATCACTGAAAAGTCTAAATGTCGATATTTTTATTATATCCCCGTGGGGATAAATCACCCATTACTGTCCCCCTACGTCCAAGAGATATATGATTAGCGAAATGACTGAGAGTATGACGACGCGACTTACGGATTAATATTTCACATCGAGCGATTACGTGCGTTGTCTTTGTTGCCCGTAATGCTACCTCGCGTTCGTTTCGCCGTTCCCTGTATAAAAAATAGAGAAGCCCGACGACAAATTCCTCAAAGAATAAAATATGAGATCGGGAGACGGTAAATTTGTTTAATATAAAAATGTGGAAGACACGAGACACGCTGTCGTTCGTCGGTTCGTTTTCCCTTCGCCTCGTGCAGATACGCGCTCTGCGTCAATGATTGAACGTTACTTTATCTCGGACAGAGGTAAATCCTATAACGAAGACAAGTTTTTTTCTTTAGAATTTATTAATATTCATACTTACGATTAGTGGTGGCTTCTACGTACCGCAGAGTGATTTTCAAACGTCTTCGAGCGCGTCCTTTCGTTTTCCCTATTCTCTTCAATTATTGTATACTGGAGGATTAATACACTTTGTTGACATTAGTGAAAAGTATCACCTGGTTCGTCTAACTTTATTACAGTACGTTGTAAGCTGAGTAAACAATTTTTAACTTACGATACGTTGGCTTCAGTTGGCTTTTGGTTTTTAAGGTGCTCGAGAAAGGAATAAGAAAGGCAAGTTATACGGTAACGTTTGAACATTAACAGTTTTTAATAGAATTACTGATGCTCGTAACTGCTATTGGATTACGCACAAATTAGTATAATTTTCACGCATCGTATTGTTCTCTTGCGTCTTCTATTGTCTTCAATTGTGTAGTTCTACTCTAAGAAGTCTCCAGCTATTGTAAAAAACAGACATTTCTGATTAGGGAACTACAAACTTACATTGATTATACGTGTTCTCGTATCAGAGATTTGTGAAGTTTTACGAATAATTTATTTACAGACACGTTAAAAAGAAAATTCAAAATTCAAGCGTATTAATTTTAAATTTTCTTAAATTCTTATGTAATTGCGTTTATAAACGATGTAGAATAAAGTCTGTAAAAAAGTTGTTCGAAACTCCATGTACTCTTAAATTTTGCAATAATTTACGAGTATCGTTCTCTACATACTCTAGTCTCCTCCTTCTTTTTTATTGCACTGAATTAGTTCCTTCTGCATGTTTGAAAAACAATTTCTACCGTAAATAAAATACTCTTGTACTATTCGTGGCCCTGTTTGAGCACGTTATACACCGAGTATGAAGTCTTCATTATCTACAACGAATAGATATTTCAAATATAAATACAGATCATTCCAAGAATCGATCGCTTTTAACTTCATATCGATACTCTTTTTAGAGATGATGAGGGGGAGGAGAAGGAGTTAAAAGAATAGAAAGGAGGGGAATAACTGGAGCAAGGAACAGGAGACAGGTGGAAGTAGGAAATAGAGAATTTAAAAATTAAAAAAAATAGAAAATAGAAATAGATACTCTTTTTAAAATTTGCTAAACTTTAAATTTTTAGGTCGTGTGAAGTTTGAGGAACCTTGTTGGTTACTAATCTTTTCTTTTTTATCAAAAATTCGTACTAACTGCCATAAAAGACGCGAGGTTCATCGTGGCAACGTGAACACCTGTAAACTCGATGGGCATCGTTGCTCGATTCATAATAATTAGCAAGGTCCTTCTAGGGCCAATATCCAACGAGATCCAGTCACTTTCCATTATCATGTCAGGAATTTCGAGACTCTACACGTAAAAGCACTCCGTGAAATTTTAGTACTTTAACTGAAAACTGAATTCATTATCATGCAATGGAACCTTCAATCGGACTTCGTTCCCGTACCAACAATAATACAGTATCTGCAGAACTACGCAACTTGTAAAGGATACGTTCGCAATATACTTCGAGTCCAGATCTCTCTGCGTCAAAAGATACAGTTCCATGCACAGAGAAGACGTGCTCACCGCAAACTGAACGAACAATGTCGTTTTAAATTGTTCGTTCACCATCGCGGCGAATCTGTAACGATATCGAAAATAATTGTTTCATCGAGCTTATTTGCGTTCTCTATCCTATTAGAATTTATTTCCATAGCGAACTTGTGTGAATTGTCGATATATTTGACATTGATAGATAAAGGTTTAATGAAATTGGGGAATAAGAAAATTTCTATCCAGTCCACCAATTCGATTGTTAAGAGAGTCCATCGTAGGGGGATTAAACTTAGAATTTGCTAGTAAAGTCGTGGACGAACTTGTATATACGATTATGAAGTCGGGCACAGTGTCTCGCGGTGTAGTCTCCGTTTCTTTTGATATGTCTCAAACGATGTCGCAATATTTCGAGCTCGCTACAGGTATGGATCAGAAGGCCGCTGAACAGACTGTCGCAGCTGACGTTCAGAAACGAGCAGATCACTAAACTTATAGCCTGATAAACGTAAGTGAGAGCGAACACGATAAAAGAAGTATAATCGTAGGGCATCCAAGCACGATTAGACAATGTTCTTGTTTCGAAATTTGTGAAAATCGACGAGCCAATCGTAGACGTTAGAAGCATTAACACTGCGATCCCGTAGGCGATCATGTTCCATCTGTTGAGGAAATGCTACTATCAAATACTGCAGGCTACGAATAGTCTCACAGTTAAATGATTTTTAAATACTTCTGTGTGTACGAGTCGAGTCATTGTGAAACAGTGTTCTGTTGTTTCGTCAACATTGCAGAGCTTCCTCAAGTGATCAACGGATCGATTGAAACACTTGTTGCAGGTGATTGCTAATCCATGACGAAGCTTGCTGCAATCTTGCTGAAACGTTGTACCAGTTACGAAGAAAAATGAATTGATCGTTAATGAAAGTGTAAGCAGTAACGTCAACTTTGACACAGACTCACTCTGCTAGTTTGTCGAATTTCGATCGAATCATTGTTTCATCGATGCTCGATGGCGCCAGGAGTTCCTGGTGAAGACTGTCGATCAACTTTGCATAATTTTCAGAATTCATGATCACGTTACGCATCTTCCAGCAAGATGCAAAAACCTCCGCTGTTAGATAGAAATTATCACTGAAATCTTCCATGTTGTCAACGTTAATGACTATGTCCAATATAAAAAATAACAAGTAGCTATGCGTCAAGAACAAACAAGTGACCATATACGTGGTGTACAGAAACTTTTTGGACCGGGACGTCCAAGAAGACGGTCGCCAACAGCCACAGAAGCTGAGAAGCACGAACACTCGTCGTAGTATGTGCATTATTAATTCTATAAGGACCTCTCTAATGCGTATCTATTAGCAAGAAATTTCGGAGCTATCACAAAGTACTGACAACATCACGTTTCTTTCGTTTCACACCAAAGTTTTATAATCGTACTACTACTTATAATCGCGATTCTGATTCTCTGCTGAACGGACGTTTAGGTACGACTGAAGACTATAACATATCGGGGATTTCTAGTATACTTTTGCAGAAGTCAGTTCCCATCAACTGTTTTCCCCTCGGATTCGCGGGCCATATAATTATCGTAATGATGGAGAACATGGCGACTCTATTCATTTATTTACACATTTTAAGGACAGCTGTACGCTCCTTGTAATTTGCAATTTTATCGTATTCGCTGTTTGTTATTTTCCGTTGAAATGTTACGCATGAATGCACCGCGCGGGAGAAATGAATAGAAAAAACAGACGACAAATTTCTCGAAACATAAATCACCAAAGGGGAGTTAGATTGTTCGTTTGAAATACGCATCTTATGTCTTTAGTTGAGGTCTTCTTTGCTACTTCACTGTGTAATCCAACGTGGAGTTGTATTTCTCGCAAGGAAACAGTTATGAAAGTTATTCGACAAATTGTTCGTAGCATAGTATTCTAGAGTGGAATTGTAAACGTTTTGTTCGAACAAGTGAAGAGTTGGAACCATTGTTTTACCATTGCTGTAAGTGTCGTGTATGTTAAGAAAGTGGGCGGGATTATAATGGTTAATTTGTAATTTTATTTTATTTTGATTTGACAGTGTAAGTGTTTAAAATTATTTTTTGACACCATACAATTATGCAGTAGAATATATTGATATTCATACCGAATGTTATAGTGTATACTCTCCAGGACAATTTTTTAACAGTTATAATGACACATTCTACTCGTTTTTTTTTCGTTTTCTTCAATTATTTTGCCTTGAAGAATGGAAAGTCAGTTTTCGTCAAACCATAAGGGAATCTCCGTGTTCTTGATACTGTCACTCACTCTGTTGCATCAAATTATACGCCGAGTAAGAGGACTTCAGTAACTGAAACGAGATATTTGCAATAGAATTTTTAAATTAATAACTTAATTTTCTTATCATACTATAAATTTACGAGTAATAAATTTTCTAAGAAGAATCTTCAAAATTCAATATATTTATTCTTTGTAAACATATAATTTATAATAATTAAAGCATCCGTGTATCCAACACTGCGAGTTTCAACTATACGATCTATAAATCTCATAACATACCAATAGTATTTGAACATATTTATACTAACAACTGTTTGCCCAATGTTAATTAACGGTATCAGGGATAAAGAGTTATTTTCTATCTCTTAACAAGTTTGAA